CTTTCACACATCAGGGCGCCCCCTTTTTGTCTCTTTCTTCTATTCTTTTATCTTTGTCTTTCTTCGCTCGCTTAAATTTATCCGTCTTCTCTCATTTTTCTCCCGCACTTCTGTGCATCGCAAGTGTGTCTGTTGGGTGAACCATCTGTTGGTTCTGGTTTGTTCCGGTTTGTTCCGGTTTGTTCTGTTGTCCTGTTGTCCTGTTGTCCTGCTGTCCTGTTGTCCTGTTGTCCTGTTGTCCTGTTGTCCTGTTGTCCTGGTTTTGTGTCATTTCTCGCGGGAGTCTGCTGGCCCGCCCCATCTGGAGCCTCCTTGTTGCGTCCTTCCCGCGGAAAATACGACAGCCAACGGCCCTATCTCACGTCTCACGCAGAGCTCTTCCTTCTGAATCGGATAAACCCTACGAAAAAGAACTACATGACTATCGGAGCGACTGTTTCAACCTCGCCGCCAGAAAGGACACAAATGACCGCATATGGTTTAGCCCTGTGAGGCCCGATGCGCAATCCGTCCTTGACCATCCCCCCCCCCCCCCCAAATGTCTTCCCGTGGATGCCCTACTCCAACTTGTCATGCCTCCTTCATACCCACCACCTTCGACGTAATTTTATCGGATGCTGTTGTCCGTCAAAGAAGTGACGACTGATAACTCTCCGTCTCCACAAATCACAGCCGCGCTCGCGCTTTGGTTGTTGACGCTGGGAAGCTGGCTGAGGCGGCCAACATACGTTTAGGTGTGGGGGTACCATGTTTCTTTCAATGTGCTCTTCTGTTGTTTCTAGGCCTTCCTGGGTAGTTGTGCAGGGGTGCTACAAGCAACGACACCTAGATACTTCTTCACCGAGTTAGCACACATCCTTCGTATGGGTGTATCAAAAAGGCCTCGTCAGGAACAGTAGCATCCCCCCACTCGTTTTACAACAAGAAAGAGTCGACTTAGTCACAGTGAAACAGAAAGCAGTCCGATAACAAATGCGACAATTGTGGCTGAGAGAAGGAGGGACAAGAGAAGGAAAGAAACACCGCAAGGGACGATAGACAATGTCAGGAGGACGACGTGCGCCTTCACATGACCTCAAAAGTGCACAAATGGCTGCACAATATTCAGCACATGCAGCTAGTCTTACACTCGTGTGGGGGGCCGGTGAGAAAATGAAGAAAAGCGGTCAAAACAGACAGTGTCTAGAGTGCGAAGGCGACAGATGAATAGCTGCCATTGCCTGCCGTAATCCATGCAGACAACTTTTTTACAAAATACGACACATCCATCATTCTCTGTCTCTGTTCTTGCACTCTCTCCCTGCAGACCCATAAATTTCAGGTCATCATTTGTACTGCAGCCTTGTCAGGCCAGGCCACTCGGAAACAGGTTGGCTGTAGGGTCTCGCCAGGGCCTGGATCGTGGTCTACAGAAGCAGTCCCCAGTTGCACGGTTCAAGGCCGGTACGTCCCGCCCAAGTTGACTATGTCCAGTCCATACTAGAACGCGGGCCAGAAACCCTCAGAATGTGTTCTAGAAATCTCAGTTCACGGCTTAGATCCGACGTCATATTTTAGGCGTCGATCATTAAGTAAATGAGACTTGACCAAGATACTCTTTCGTATAAATGTGGTGTCACTGCTTTACGGCATACACGACGATTTCGTGGCCGACGCTTTTCTTCGCTGGAAATACAATAACCTTTCGGGTTGATCTGTGGCATCGATGCCACCCTTGGTCCTCAACGCCTCTATACTTCAGCTCCCAACAAGGACCATGTACTTTCCAAAGCTGCAATTTTCTGCAATTTCCAAGTGGCGGTGAGCGCCAAGTAGACCTGTAAAAACCACACCAAAACGCACCTTCTTTGAGCTGCAGCTGAACTGTCAAGTCTGGTAGCGATATTGAAATGGCTTAATGCTGGTTCAGCTTCGATTACCACATTCTGTCCTACCCAGGGGATTGTTCAGTCTCGGCAAACCATACTTATGCACTGAATCGTTCGCGCATCACTTCTAGGACCTCAAGTTTTTTAATCATTTACCTGGGATTATTGAACGTTGCCAATTATGATAGAAGTTGTCACATTTCCGTCACGCATCTCAGTTGAATCAACACAAAATATCCTCGAGTTATCGATCAAAGATCCGATGACCAAAGTACCGGGAAACATCGTACCAAGGTACTTTTGTGTCCCCTTGCCCTTGTCAACAAAATCCCAATGGTCTAAATCCCAGAAGACCCATTTAAGCGGTCCGAGGCGATTGTGGGGACGCTAAAAACGACAAAGAAACATCACGACACTCAATCTCGGGATCTTTCCGATTTCTGGAACTGCTTTCTCGGCTGTTCTTTGCAAGGCGGCGCCTATATCCGTGCAAAAGAGTATAGGACTTCAAGACAGCCAGACGGAATAAAACCAATTGTACAGAGTACCGAGTTCATAATAGAAACGGTATAACAAAATTGAATAGGAACAAAAAAAGACAAAGGGGGAAAGGCAATGCAGATGACACCATCCCTCCAATATCCCTTCCTGCAACTCATGAATACGAGATGCATTTTAAGGGATAGTGTGAGCTGCAGGTGAAAACGAATCACACAGAGGCCATCTGGGAAAAACAAAAGAATGGGAGCGAAGCAAGTCGAACCGCTGTTCTTAAACGTTGAGGGCAACCAAATAGAAGGACGATCCGTCTCGTCACATCATAGCTCCATAATTTCCTCTTGCCTCCCTTTGCTCTAGCCTTTTTCCTTCTCAGCCCTCCTCCACACGGAATCTTTCCCTGTCGGATCCACACACATCGACTCCACTGCTCCCACCTCCCTCGCGTCCTTGAGACTCGTCTTCTTTTGGTTGCTCAGCTTCACCGGTCTTCCCTTTCTTCCCAGTCTTCCCAGCTCTCGACAAAAAATAAATCAGCCTCGTTAATACTTGCCCTTTTTGAGAAGTTAAAATTCGTTCAGCTGTAGAAGCCTGGTCACTGTGAGGGGGATTCCCAAAGTTGTTGCCCCCCGCTATCCTGTTGCCGCCGTTCCCTTCACGCATTTGCACTTTTGGAAATACTCGAGATGCATTCGTTCTCATTTGAGACATATATGTTTTCATGCTCCCTCGGTTTGATGCATCCAAAACCGTTGTCTATGCTCTTCATATTTTCCCTCTGTATTTGTGCTCGGGTTTCTCGTATGGCATTCGTTGCAGCGACAAAGCATGCAAGTGAACGTCTGGCCGTGACGTGAGTTGCGGCTTCACCGCCTTGAGCTACCCACCGCCTCGTACTCTCCCCCCTTGCGTCTTGCTGGCCCGTATTGAACACCATTGCAAACTGCCAGTTTGTCCTTATTAGTCCTCTCCGTAGAACATGTCTCCGAGACATGTTGACATCGACTTTGCCCTGTTTGGATGTAAATTTCTTCCGACCCATGCCGGGCCCGGTCTCTTCCCACCATTCACCTCGTCTCATGTCGATTCGGCGACATCCTCTTTCCATGTCCACGCCCCCCTCTTTCGTCTGCTTTGCCGAAAAGGTCTCCACGGTAGGACACAGAATAGGAAGTCGCCGACATCATTGGTGGCCTGACGCTCGTAGCTGTTGGTGATGGACAATCTTTCCCTTATCTACATGCTGTGTGAGACAACAGACTGAGCTGTCGTCACACACCTCTCAGAAGAGGAAAGAAGGGAGTCGACTGGAGAAAAGTATGCATGGCAAGTGACCGTATGACCTGGCCAGTTCGAAGCAACCATGTCCAAACGCAGTACCAGATCACTGTTTTGTTTCAGGTGTCTGGTTCACCACGACTTGCTCGCGTCAATGGTGTCATAGTATCTGAGAGGACCAGCTGCATGGGAACCACTGCCAACACGAAAAGGGCCGTATTCTGGCGCTTCTGGCATGGCCCGGTCTACTTCCTACGTTTTTGTTCTGGGGCACAGCTCCAGGTTGTTTTACTTTCTTTGCTTGCTTAGTCTGGCTGTTTCTCATCTGGACATGGCCATGACGCCAGGGAGACCAGCCAGCCAGCCATCGGAATGTCCCCGCCGTTGACCACGCGGCGAAGTAAGCCAGAATGGTTTATTTTGTCTCAAAGACCATCATTTGAGCGCACTTGGCATATTGTACGGTGCATTTCGTCCTCGGAGAACACGTTTTAGGAAAAGGCTACGGAATAGGAAGTGCAGTCTCTCAGTCCCTTGCGCCTTCCGGATTTTGACCATTCTCAATTCCGTATTGATGTTCCTATTGGCATCCACGAGTTCACCAGGCTCGCACTTTCCATCTACGTCGTATGCACCTTCCTCATCCTCATGCTCTCCTTCTGAGCATTCTTCGCACCTTCCTTTCTCCCGTCGTCCATCGACCGTTGCCCTTTTGGAATATCATAAGAAATAGCATCCCGATTCTCACTCCTCTCCTGAGTTGCTCCGTTCTCAAGTTTGCATATGCTCCGCTGGTCCCGCGACACTCGTATATTGCTCTGTTACTCCTCCCAAAACTCATCCATTGTGACGAGCAGTTTGATACCGCCAGGCATTTTACCCCTTTGTCCCTGCGTCTTTCTACCAGACGTTGGCACCATTCCACACAAAGCCGGTAGTTACTTGCAGGGTTACACTGCCATTCCTTGCAAGGACTCCGCCTTTCTCCAAGTTGCATCGACCTTCAATCGCCTGTTAGCCCACGATACTCCCTGCTGAGCCCGTCTTTCTCCGTCCGTGCAGACCAGGGTTCCAGCAGCAGTTCATGACAAGAAATACGGCCGGAAACGACAAACGTTGAGCTGACACTCCATCTCCCGTCGTATTTTTGTGCATCAGCTCTGAGCCATGGCTGTCCCATCGTGGAACGACCGTGTGCAAGCCAACAGGTCCGATCATGATTGTCCTTTCGGCGAGGATAGTCTCGGTCAGAGCTTGCAATATCGGCCCCATCGTCCTCTGCCTCAATCTTCCGCGTCGAATATTTTCCCCAAACGCAACACATCCGCCAATGGCACTCGCACTGCCGTCCTTCCCATGTACCAGAGCCAGACGAGCCGAGGCGTGCCCATACCACTGCCTCGTGCCGTCCTCGACGCCGCGTACCCAGACAACCCCGACATTGTTGATGCTCATTGCCGCCTCCGCTTGAACGGCGATGCACCACGATGGGGCATTACTGCCAAGGAGACAAGCCAATTCATGTCAGGCTGGGACCAGGAGCAGTTTACGGTTAACCTTTTGCCTATACATGACGGAAGCAGAGAACCGCCACCACCATCCACGTCGTCGGAGTCTGATACTGCGCCAGGTGGAGAGATACGGCGCCCTGAGGGAAGTCGTATTTCCCAGGTGCCGGAGCACGCATCTGGCCAGAACGCGTCGACACCGGCAAGTCGGATGTTTGGCTCCGACGCCGATGGTTCTTCTGCCCCTGCTCTCGGCTCGACGAACACTGCCGATTTCAGGTCATCAAGTGCCCCTGATGTTCTCCTGATGACTCCTGTCGAAGGCGAAGATGGCGAGCTGGATAACGTGTACAGCGACGGCTCCATGGCTTTTACACTTGCCGCTGCCCCATCATCGCCTCCGCAGACGGTGCCCGCCGTCGATTCCACCTCTCAGCATGCCATCAACCCGGATGACAATATTTCGTCGTCGTCACATTTAGAGAAGGCGACGCCGCAAGTCTACAATGCTGAGACAGAAACGGCCATTGAAACCGCAGTCCGGCTAATTGCCAAAGCCCGTGCAGCTGCCGCTACGAGATACGATCGGGCAAAGGCAGCGAATGACTGTGCGGTATCTGCAACTGCCCAGATCGAGGAGATCAAGCTGCCCGTCAAGCCTTCGCAGCTATCACCATCTGCGCCCACCGTTATGATTGCGTCGTCTTCCTCTTCCTCTTCATCGTCTTTTGCCTCCGTCTTGACCGCAGCTGGTGGTAAAGCGGACGACATCTTTTTTCACAAGATGGGCGAAGACGCACATAGAGATTACCGCCTCTATACGAACGACGCGCACAGCGACAGCGACAGTGGTAGCGACAGTGAAGAAGAACTGGAGGCTTTGTTGATGCAGCTGAGTGACGGCGGTGGTGATGACAGCAAGAGCACAGCCAGCAGTACCGTCACAATCACTCAAGAAACAGCGGACGCCCGAGCGGCGGCAAGGACAGTAGCTGCTGCTGCCGCCGCGTCAGTGAGCTTTCCTGAGTCCAAGTACTTTTTTTTACAACAAGACGTTCAAATCACCGCCAACGCTCCGTCCGAGGCTTCGTCAGAAACTGTCACGGTGGGGCCATCTACACCTCCCCTGGCACAATCGGATCTGCAACCACCGCCGCGACCGTCCCTGATCTTGCTTGCCGATGACGGTGAGACGTTCCCTCTAAGCGAGGGGACTGAAGAAGACCACATCCAAGCGATCCTGCGGTGCGAAGAGGAGCGCGCGACGGGTATCCAGCTGAACCGTGACCCGGTACACTTTGCAATGCGCCCGCCAGAGACTGGCGTGAGAGCAGCCCAAGTCCCTTTCCCCTACAATCTCGGACCATCGTGCAGCTGGGCACCGTACTTCTTTTATGGCAAGCCCGCTGCAGGGATGTTCATACCTACCACGACGCATGTGGGAGGGAACGGCACGGGTACGAGAGATCAGGATCAGGTCCCGATGCCCTACATCGAGCATACGAATCTCTCAGACTCGCCTCTTGGTATGCCTATGGGTACGCGGGTGATTAACTTCTTGCCCGACTTTGGAACACACTCACCAGTTCGCTGCTTCCTGCACACGAGTTGCGATGGGCCGCCGCCGGCAGCTGTAGCATTACCGATGTTGGCTTCGCTGCCTTCTTTTGGAACCGCAACCACAGGAGCACGTGTGTCGACGCTGCCAACTGAGCCGCCACCATTGCAGCCTCCACCTCGGCTTAGTCAGTGGAATCAGACGCGCCGCCCGACAAATCGCGAGAGCCATGACGCACGTTCGCCCACGGATAATGGCTGCGAAGACAACAGCCGTGCCACCAGCTTGGCCATATCCGAGTATGCAATTGCCGTGGGTGCCTACAAAGAGTGGACGCACACGTGCATTGCCCTACATCAAATTGCAGGCCACGTGACGTCCTCTCACGTTGAAGCGGCGGCGACAGGGCTGGCTGATCTCGTGCGGCATCTCGTGCACAACGCGGAGAAAATGGGCCTTCTGTCACGGTCTGTCTACCAAGCTGAGCTGCCAACAACGGCAGTGGCATCGCCATCGCCCACCACACCCGTTGCAACTTGTTACAAGCAAGTCTTCTGGGCCAAGTTTGTGGCGCTTGCCTTCGCTGTGTTCAGCGAGCACGCTCTACGCATGGATCTGGCCGAGGGAGCCAGTGACTGGGCAAAGACGGTTCCTGAATCTGTCACCGTCGAGGCACTGACGATTCCGGACCGGACCCAGACGCCGATACCGACGCCTCTCACAGGCCGCACCTACCGTTTGGAGAGCTGCGAGAGTCCCGCCAACATGACCCCGGAGTTCTGGTGGCGGCACGGTCGGCAGCTCGACCTGGAGTGGGAGACCTTTTTACACGACTGCAAGACGAAACAGTCCCAGCCACGTGTCTACAATGACGATGAGGCCGAGAAGCCATACGAGCCCGTTCCGGCAAGCGCCCGGCTGCCCGGCGAGGAAGACGAGGCTCAGTATGCCGAGTACGATGTGTACAAAGACTTTGGCAACCACGACGGCATACACTCAAAGTACGATACGGCCGAGGGCCAGAACGGTCGCACAAATGGGGATGGCGCTCAAAACGATACGACGCTCAACGAAAACGACATCGTCCCCAACCCCGAAACGGAGAAAGACCACATTGACGGGGACAAAAACACCCGACAAAGTGGCGGTGTGCCCGTCAACGGTACAATTCAAGAGCAACTCGTGGCCTCTCCCAGCAACCTCAATCTCATAGCGCAGTTCACAGCCGTGCGCCTCCGAGGCGGCCTACGCACTCTCGCCAATGTGATCTACGGCGGCGGTGATGACAGTTGTGGCAGGCACCCCATCCGGCCAGATGCCGATACGGTTCTCGCGCGTGCGCAGTTTGACATGCTGCAGGCCATGGCTGACGACACAGTCGAGAGCTACGCGCGAATTCTGCACTGGCGCCCACGCGAAGGCCCGCCGTCTCACAAAGGCATTCGGGCTACGAGGCAGAAGCTGGCCCGCACGTACCGCCATCCTCTGGAGCTGTACAGTTTGGTGATGTAAGATCTTGGGACTCGTTTCGAAGGGGCAAGTGTTGTCGACTTCCTTTGGCGCATTTTTCACATGACTGTATTTCTTATGACGTTTTATGCTGTTCTACGACATTCTATATTGTTCATTTATGTGCCCATACGCTTACACAGTTACACACTTTCTATGCGTAGTAATATTTCACTTAATATCGTTCCAATAGGACGTCATTGTCCATCACCGTCTCCAGCCTTCGCAGAACAGCAGTTGGTGACTGTTCCCTCGTATCCAGGGTTCACGTCTTTACGTGCGTCGATGAATGAGCATACGAGCAACGGGCAAGTCTTTTTTTGTTTGCGTCGTCACCTCGGAGAAAAACAGTGCGACCATCGAATCACATCCGGCCGTCTTGTGACCATATTTTTTTTCGATCGCGATGCAAGTCGGGCGGCCAATCAGAGTGCAAGGGCTTATAAATAAATTTCCTATTTGGGAAACCCCGCTTACAGGGGGACGTCACATCATCCAGTCATGAAACGTCTCTGTGCTCGTCACGACGGACCAAACCAGAGTATTGCGAGTAATGTTGCTGTTGGTTTATTCATTTTACTCGTCATTTTTGTTTCCATTGGGTTCTGGTGTCGTTTGCGTGCGTGGCCGTCCTCGTTTCTGATTCGCGCTTTTCTCCGTATCATCTCGGCGCTTAAAATGGAAGAAAGATTGTGTTGCGTGTAAAGTAAAATAAATCGCAGCTTCTTTCTGTAGTAGCCTTTTGTTTAAGCATGAAATCGAAGATACTAGGAAGCACAAAATAAGAAAGAACAACGGAGAGTGAAATGGCGACCTGAGATGCGATGGAAGATAGTGATCTACAGAGTCCCTCGACAGGTGCGTATGTCGGGAAACAAGATGGGGTATCGCAGACGTCTACATGTCTACATGTATAATGATCATATCAGATATTAAAGCATGGGTGAGGATTCAAGTATGTGCATTCGTACGTCATGTCGAAAGGTCTCTGCTCAAATGTTGTATGTCGTCACGAGCGCCCAAATTAGCTGCATCGAGGAGCCAGTGCGATGCTCAAATGTTGTATGTCGTCACGAGCGCCCAAATTAGCTGCATCGAGGAGCCAGTGCGATCAGTAACGAATCTGGAGGCCATGATGACGCCGATGTCCTTACACACGTCCCTGTCATGAGGCACCGTTTTGGTTCTGTCTGCTTCTAGTGCAGAGAGATGACGATGCATCGTCATCGGCATCGTCATTGCTTTGGTTTTGGGACGCTGGCATGCATCATAAGCTAGATGTACGTACCGAGGGCGATGAGTTGACGCCCTCGTCTTTTGTCTATATAAAGCCGGCCTCGTTCCCTCCCAAGGTGCGTCTTCTTCTCTTCCTTCTCTCCCAAGGAAACAAAAAGTTGATCGTCTCGTTCCAAGTTCGTCTGCTACTCTCTTACTGACTTACTTGTTCAAACCCTTGACACCTGACTTTGGTTTTTCTTACAACCCTTCAACCCTACAACCCTACAACCCTACAAATCACACAACTTTCAAAATGCACTTCCCTTCGCGCCTTTTTGGCAAGAAAGAGAAGGCGGCGAGAAGCAGCCACCGTGGACCCCTCCACATCAACTTCTCTGGCCACGGCTCCGAGGTCGGCGGCGACGAGGCCACGCCTCAGACCAGCGAGGGCAGCAGCGCGAGCATCCTCTCCCGCCCAGATGTCATTCTGGCGCAGATGCTCGTCATGCCCTTTGCTCACCAGGCTCCTGAGGTGCCTCAGGCGCCTGCCCAGCCCATGACGCCCGTCGTGTCTGGCTCAGTCAGCAGCGACGAGGCGCAGGAGCACGATGCTGCTGTGGACGGCTACTTCTATGTCCACAACGCGCGCGCCTTCCGCTCCATGATGGAGCTGCGCGCGCAGCAGATTCGTGATTACGAGGACCAGCACAGCGTGCGTCGCACCACCAAGGGCGAGCGCCACTCTGTGGTGCCGCGCACCACTGTCAAGCCTGACCTCTTGACCATTCCAGAGGAGACGGAGCCTGAGGAGCCTGAGGCGCCCGAGGCAGATGCACATGTCGCTGACGAGGACGACGCTGCCTCGGATGCGTCTTCGGTGCTCAGCGACCTCTCCGATGGCGCGCTTGTCGCTGGCGAGGACGAGTGGGCGTACTTTGCGGCACAGGAGGGCGTCGTGCTGGCCCGCTCGCCCTCGGCCGCGTCCGCCGGCTCGCTGACCTGCTCCTCGCTGCACTCCTTCGAGTTTGGCGAGGGCTGCGTGTCGTTGCGGGCCCTCGGAGCGGTTTTTCGCCGCGGCCTGCGCGCCCTGGTCACTCGACATCACTAGTCGCTTGGAGCAAGAAAAGGCCCAAGCGGAAAAAAGTTGACGTCGAGACAAAAAAAATATAAAAAAAAAACTTCTTAAAAAAAACATAAAACCTCCCAACGGACAAAATAAACAGTGGCATCCTCATCCGGGTCCCACAATGCCAAAAACAATAAAAAATCTACAATATATCACAAAAAAAGGGAAATTTAGGTTGTGTTTTGGATGGCTTTCGATTTTTTGGATTGTGGATCTTGTCTTCTGGTCTTCTGGTTTCTGGTTTCTGGTTTTCTGGTATCTGGTTTTCTGGTTTCCTTTTATATTGTTCAGTCTAGTTTGTATAACAAATTGCTTCCACTCTTTTCACTCTGCATCTGTCAATCTGAATCGTGACTATGAACTATGAACGTGTTTCTATCTTCGCAGCCATAAGACCGAACGCAAGACAACCACTTTTGAACACAACAGCGATTGCTCTCCATCTCAAGCATGCCTAGCTGGGCCTTCCATTGCTGCCGTACTGATTGCTTGCCCCACGGCAATCGTCGCAATAGCACGGATTTCCCAGCCCGACGGCTCCTTGCCGCTGCGCCTCCTCTGCCGTCGGGCCCTCCCGCACCGCCGTCCAAGCCGGTCGAGCAGTCCCAAGAAGCGACCGGCCGGGCTGGTGGGTGTATTCTCCGGCGGTGTTGTAAAACTGCGGCGTCTCGGGCGACGACGGCGACTGCGTTGGCGGCCCGGCCTGGGGCGGCGGCATGAACGGCCAGCCATCGCGCTGCATGCCGTTGCCGTACGGGCGGTCGCTTTGCACAAAGGAGGTTGCGGGCATTGCTGCCCCGGCAGCAGCAGCAGCAGGAGGAGGGTGCTCATAGGCAGCAACCGGTGGTGAATAGGCCGCAGGGCCAGGTTGGAGGAGCTGCCCGGACATGCTGTTGATGGGAGGCGAGGACAGAGAGCTTGTTGCCATGGGTGGTATTTGGGACGCCTGGGATGCTCGGGGCGCTTGGGACGCCTGGAATGTCGTCGCCTGCCCCGGCGACAAGACAAGACCGCGCGGATCGCGGTCCCAGCGCCAGCCCCGCATGCGTTGTCGCTGCTCGACCTCGTGCGCCACGCGCCGCATGGTCTGCTGCCGCACGTCCTCCTCGTAGTCCTGCATCCGCTGCTCGTTGGCCTGCCGCAGCCGGTCGTGCTGTTCCTGCAGCCGATGGGCCCGCCACGCGGCGCGGTCGTGGGCCGCGGAGCCGCTGCGACGGCGCCGGTGGCCAGCGGTGTCGGACGTGTCGCCGGGGCGCGCAAAGTCGGCATGTCCGGCCGCATGTGTCATCCCCGCAGCCACGGCACGGGTGACTGCGCTGGTTACCGCACTGCTCATGGCGGTCGCTACGTCCGTGGCAGCCGCGGTCGTGGCTGCGGTGCTCGCGCCGTCCGGCGTCGCAGTTGTTGTGGTGCCTGCCGCGTTCGCCGGAGCGAGACCGGGTGCCGCCGCCGCCGGTACTGACGTAAACGTAAAGGACCCGCCTCCCGAAAAGGAGACGGTGTTGTCGAAGCTCGAGGCAAGCGCGTCCGTTGTCAGCGGCGAGAGGGTCGACTTGGGCCCGTGGAACCAGACGTCGAGGCCGAACCGGATGACGTTGTCGTTGGGCCGCAGCTCGCGCGTCGAGTGGTTTTGCTGCCGGGCGGACCCAGACAGTGGCAGGCTGCGACCCGGCGCAGCGTCGTTCTGGGTTCGGCCACGAGCCCGTCCCGTTCTGGTCCTCTTCTGTCCCGCCGTCGATTCACCGCCGGCTCTCCGCTTTCTCTTTGGCGGAGCCGGCTGCTCCGGGCCGAGTTGAGACGCAGTGCGTATGTCGCCGTCGGCGTCGTTGCGTCGCGGGTCTGGCTGGGGCTCTGTGCGCTGTCGCTCGTCTTGTTGCCGCTCGGGTGAATGGGCAGACCGAGCATGCTGCTGTGAATCGCGTGGCCACTGTTGTTGCTGTTGTTGTTGCTGTTGTTGAGGCGGTGCATCGCTCTGTGGTGCCTGTCGACGCGGTGCTGGGAAGTTCTGTGACAAGTCCACATATCGGATCGGCCGCGGATATGGCGGCGAGAACGATGTGCCCGCCCCGTAGTCGCCGTGTGGACGCTGCCACGATGGCTCTGGCGACCTGCTGTGTCTTGCAAAACCTGGTAGTCGAAAGGATCCTCGGGTCTGCGGACCATCTTGCTGCTGGTCATTGTACAGGGCGGATGGCAGTTGTTCTCCGTCGCGATGATGGACGACATTTGGCTCTTGCTCCGGTCGAGGAGCGGCTTGCCACGGCACAAGCGACTCGATGCGCTGCTGAGGTTGCGGCCGAGCGTGCAAAGTATCCTCTGCGGGAGGAGGAGGACGATGTGGCGGCTGTACTAGGTTCGGAAACCGGATGGCTCGGTCCTCCTGCTTGACGCTGCTGGCCGCGTCGTGTTCGATTTCCTCCTTTGCCGCTCTCAGTGTCTGTTGCCATCCCGTATCCTGCCGCTGGCTGGCCAGCTCGACCTCTTGCTTGATGCTCTGCACGTCACTCGTCACCCTGCGGTCGAGCCCGTCCATCTCGACGGACCGCAGCGGGCACGCCACCGGTGTCGGCGGCCGTATGGGCGACGCATCGCCCGGAAGCGATGCCTCACTGCCTTCGGATCTCGCAGCGCTGGCCGCGGCTTCGATGCTGGCCATGCGCTCTCTCTTGACCGCACGGGGGCTCCATGGTGTATGCAGCTCGTCCATGTTTGTCTTGCCCAGCGTGTACGGCAAATCGCCCGCTCGGAAAATAGTGAATCGTGCGAAAGGCAAGACGGGTTGATGTTGGCAAAACAGACGGACCTCTCCAGCCTCGCAGCAATGTTTACTGGCTGAAAATGATGATGGTCAAACTGGAGGCCAAGTAGGATAGTTTTGTCGGATGTCGTAGAGGACCAGAACGTAGGATCATGGAAGGGCAGGGAGACACCAGCGTGCGCCAAGCAGAAGAAGAAGAAGATAAAAGAACTGACAAAGAGGAATTCCTTTCGTCGGCTCGTGTCCCTCGTCTCACGTCTCATCTTGCCCTCCGTACGTCGTAATGGCTTTCTGTTTCTGTCCTTTCCGGGCCAGCTGCGTCTGTCTTCTGCAGACTCCCGTGGAACAGCGTGCCGTCAAGTACAGGCGTTCGGCAACGTGCAGGACAAAGCTGAGAACAATGCATGCCGAAATGAGCACGTAGGACATGGTTGCTTTTTTCTGCCCAGCGCCCAAGCAGTAGCAGCAAAACAGCGGTGACCTTATCCGCTGCAGCTGCGGCAACCCCCCAAGCAAAGCAAAAAATAAAAAATAAAAACAAATACATAGAAAGAAAAGAGAAGAGAAAAGAGGTGCTCGGCACGAACAAATCAAGTCAGTCGTCACAGCGCCACCAAACAAAACGGTGCCCACTCACATCGCCTCGCAGCCGTCGAGAGCAGTGTCGAGTGCATGAGCGGATACGAAAAGAACGGCTGCCTGCAGCTGCACAGTCGTATTGTCTGTTGGTGCAGTGTGGCGTTACACACACAAGAGAGAGTGGGAAATACGGCAAACGAGCAAACGAGGCGAGTGGGGGCATCGGAACACAAGAGGGGAGGGGAGGCAGAGATGCAGCTGCAGGAAAGCACATTCGAGAGGGCGTGAGGTGTGAGGCGTGAGGCGTGAGGAGTGGGAGGGGTAGGAAGAGGAAGGATTTGGGAACGAGTGATGAGAAACGACTCTGTAACGTGCTGCAGTGGAAATAGCGTTGGACGCTATACAGATGCATGACAACGGCTAGGTGCACATTTCGACTACGCGTAGGACGTACAGGGAGACTCCGCAGCTGAATAAACATTGGGAAAAAGTGTCCGACTGTTGACTGTATTATTGTGTAGTTTCTTCGACAGCTGTCTCAAGTACCAGAATTCGCGTTCTGATCTATAAAGTCCCGTCGCTTACACGTTCTACCTTTTCCGTTTGCAGCACTGCCAAATGCTTAGTCTTGATGTCTGGTCAGCGTCCAGTCCGCGAGATGTAGAAGAATGTCCGTGCAGTGGAGGGCCCTGACACCGATTTTGTTGCGCGACGTACGAACAAGACAGGGCTCGAGCAACTGAGCACCTAGTGCTTTTCTAAATGCGTTGTCAATTCTCCTTCTCCCACGAGGTCAACAGAAGAGTTAATAAGCAAAATGTCGGACCGGACATAGTCTTTACGTTTTAATGCCAAAAGAGGAAGCTAACCGGGCACCCTTCGCTTCGCAATGGCGCGCGTCCGGATGTTGTCCTTTAAGTCCATCGCGTGCTAGCAAAAGACAGGAGGAAAGGCGCGAGGGGATGGGCGCGAGGAGAAACAGCGCGAGGAAGACGGCAGCTCCGGACATAACAACTAAATCTCGGCGAACCGCACGCGGCCCCTTGATTTTACCGGTGTTTAAGAGCGGTGTTTAAAATCAACAATCAGATGCAAGGAAATAAACAAGCAATAGGATGTCCAGAAGCAAGGACTGCGTGATATAAGTAAACTGTCTCGTCTCGGCGACTCTGTAGAATGTAGACAAAAAAAAAAAAAAAAAAAAAAAAAACACAATACAATACAAGAAAGTAAATAAATCACCTGCCACCCCTCCCCCCATGGCTCCCTCTGCGTTCAAAAAGCTCCAGGACCGCCACGTCCTCGTCATCGGCGGCACGTCGAGCATTGGCTACGCCGTTGCCGAGGGTGCCCTGGCGGACGGGGCCCGCGTCACGGTGGCTTCGTCGACACAAGCCCGCATCGACACGGCCGTCCGCACCTTGGCGGCACAGTATGGCCCCGCAGGAGCGGTCCAGGGCGTCCAGGGCGTCCGGTGCGACCTGGCGTCGGGGGACGTGGAGGCCCGCCTCCTCCCTCACCTTCACGTCGGGCCAGGCCTCGGAGCTGCCGCCGCCCAACTGGTCCGTCGTCGTCTTTTTCACGGGCGGCACCGAGGCCCTGACCAAGGGGCTGGCCATCGACATGGCCCTTGTGCGCGTCAACACGGTGCTGCCGGGTATGGTCAAGACGGACCTGTGGAAGGTGCTGCCCGACGAGCAGCGCGACCACTTCTTTGCCGACATGGAAAAGCGTCTGCCCGTCGGCGCCATGGGCCGTCCCGAAGACGTGGCCGAGGCCTACCTGTGGCTGATGAAGGACCGCTTCGTGACGGGCACCATGGCGCATTCCAATGGCGGGTCGTTGATTATTTGACAGAGTCCTTGTGGCAGGACGTATGTCAAAAATTCATGATTCATGACTCTGGAAAATGAGCCGGAGGAAATATCCAAAAATAAAATCTGAAAAAGTAAAAAAACTGTAGGAACTAGACCGCTACCACTATGCCAGCTGGAAAACAGGTCTGAAGTACCGTTGTCCAGCAACAAAAAACTCATTTCATAAATGTCATGTAAATAGGCTCCTCGTCAAAGGCGTGTACCAAAGTATCGCACACCACCATTAACCGTCCATGATAATGGGTTGGAATCATCATCCACGCCCGCTACGTTGACGTCAAAATATGTGTGTAAGCTGAATTCTCATGTATTGTTCCAACAACATCACCAGTGACGCCGTACGTCGATGCGATGACATTGGAACTGCACGTGCACTATCACGTGCATTACTTACAGCCGTAGTTGGCGGTGACGGCGCAAGAGTGGGGCGCTATCGCAGGGAGCGGTCGCGGCACGCGGGGCGTTGATGCTGCATCTGCCGCGCATGGTCAATCTACCTCTCACGACCAATACAATACACTGCGAGATGGCCGACGAACACGCACCGCCACCGCGAGGCACCTCGTCCGAGGACGCGCCCGAGGCCCGCGTCAACAATGCCGACGCCAAGCGCTACTGGGAATCCATCAGCGCCGACGACCACGGCATGCTCGGCGGCTTTGCGTTTGTGTCGCGCGCCGACCTGCGCGGCTCGCGCACCTTTCTGGCCAAGCTGGGCATTGGGCGCACCGAGGGCCGGGGGCTGCGCCGGGTCGCGCGGGCGCTCGAGGGCGGCGCGGGCATCGGCCGCGTCACCGAGGGCTTGCTGCTGGACGTGGCCGACGAGGTCGACGTGATTGAGCCCGTGGCCAAGTTCACGGCGGCCCTCGCGGGCAAGCCGGGCGTGCGGCGCGTCTTCAACACGGGGCTCGAGGGGTGGGCGCCGGAGGCGGACAGCGTCGACGGCGGGGCGGCGCCGGGGCTGCCGGTGTACGGCCTGGTGTGGACGCAGTGGTGCACGGGCTACCTCAACGACGACCAGTTTGTCGCGTACCTGCGGCGGTGTCGCACGGTCCTGGCGCCCGGCACGGGCCTCGTCGTCGTCAAGGAGAACCTGACGACCACGGGCGTCGACGACTTTGACGCGCAGGACAGCAGCGTGACGAGGTGCGACCTGGACCTGTCCCTGCCGGCTGGTGTATGCTTGAAAGACCGCGCTGACACATCTAGATCCGAAACGTCGTTCCAAACCATCTTCGCCAGGGCCGGCTTCCGCCTGGTGCGGTCCGAGCTGCAGCGCGGGTTCCCGCCCGAGGCAGAGCTGCTGCCCGTCAAGATGTACGCTCTCAAGGCTATCGAGGAGGCAGAGGGCGCACATGCGGCGAGATGAAGACATGCAGAGCAATGTTGTGCCTCTTGATACAAGGAAGAAGCCGAGCCAAGTCGACCGCTGGGTCCTCCGTACACGATATGACGTTGCTTTGCTAGGATGGCAACACACTGCAGTGTCCATTCCATAGACGTGGTCACGAATAAACAAAAGCGTCCTTTCGAGCAGCATTGTGCATATCGCTGCTCAGTATCGCCAGGGGCAGGCCCTGACGGTGTCCGTGCCCGCTGTCAGATTGTCCGTTCCAGGACTTGCAGTGTCAAAGACATAAACAACAGACGGAGCAGGGCAAGACGGCAAGTTGTCTCTTTGTGACGACTACATATGATGACACAGGCATTATCGTAAAGTCTTCCACGGATATAAAATCATAGATCAATTACACGTCGTTGTTTCTCTACTCATTCTCTCATTATCCGACATCCGTGAAACCCCCCAACTCGAACCAATCTCATCACGACGGATGACCGTCTGGATGCACAGGGTGGGGAGGCTGTTCTGTCGACGCCGTCGGTGGAAGCGCACCGCCGCTGGTGTCCGGGGACGCCACTTCGACCGGGCCAACAGGTGCCGGCTGCCCATCACCGGCCTCGTACACGCCCGCCTGCAGTGGCTGTTGCTGTGGCTGAGGCTGACCGTAGACGGGCTGCCCAGCCACCGCCGCATAGCCAGGCTGGGGAGCGAGGGGCGGCTGACCGGGAACCTGGCCCGGTGCTTGGTAGTACTGCTGGTGGTACTGCTGCTGTTGTTGCTGCTGCTGCTGCTGCTGTTGCAGTTGTTGATGGTAGGCTGCTGCGGCGGACTCGTCGGCCTCGACGATCGGCGCCGGGCTCGGCGCACCACCACCACCACCGACAAGCGCTTGCGTGCTCAGCTCGCTCACATTGGTGGTGCCGGTCGTCTGCGACACGAGCTGGGACGCGGGCGTGGCCGACGAGGGCGCCAGGCTGGCGCGCGGGTCGGCGTAGCCTGGCTGGACGTAGCCCGCTTGGGCATAGCCCTGCTGGGGGAATCCCGGCTGTGCATACTGCTGCTGGGGATACTGCTGCTGGGGGTACACATAGCCACCAGCCGGCGGCACCTGGGCCATGCCCTGCGGCTTGTCGGCGTCGTAGACCAGCGGTACGGCCGCCGCGCCGGCGACAACGCCACCCCCGGGGGCGACCGCCTGTGGAGGCGCCAGCTGGCCAGCAGGGGCTTGCAGTGTCTGCGTCTGCAGCTGCTTGTTCTTGCGGCGCGCGCGGAACAAAAAGAAGCTGAGCACCGCGAGGGCGGCCACGACGACAACGGCGGCGACGGCAATGCCGGCAATGGCGCCCTTGGACAGGCCGCCCTTGGACGCGACCGGGTAGCTCATGGCCCAGACGACGTTGACGACGGCCGAGGTGGGCTTCTGCGTGTTGGTGGGCTCGCCGACGAGCCCGGCTGTGAGCGTGGGCGCCTCGGTGACGGCGGGGAGCGACGAGTAGCAGGGCGTCTGGCCGCCCAGGTCGCGCGTGAACGGCCAGTAGTTGCTCGGGCAGCACTGGCCCGAGATGCTGTAGTAGTCGGAGGCGCAGGCCTTGAGGACGCCCTGGTCGCGGTTGGCGGGCTGGGGAAAGGCATTGAGGGCGACGTTGGTGCCGGTGGCGCCAGGCGTGCCGGTGGCGGTGACGGTCACCGTCGTGTCTTTTGTGACCGTGGCCGCGAAGAACTCGGACGACGCCGTCCAGGGACAGCACTGCGGCTGGTTGCTGGCGCAGCCGATGTAGGCGGCCCAGTAGACGGTGTTGCTGTCCTCGATGAGCGTGAACTGCGTGGATGCACACTCGTCCTGCAGCAGACTGCCCGTGCTCTGGAAGAGCGGCGCGTACGTCAGCGCGGGCAGCGGCGGCTGCGACGAGGCCGTGACGACGTGGACGGACTGCAGGTCCAGCGACACGACGGACGGCGGCGTCGATTCTTTCGTGGTCTTGCCGGCGCCGCCGCCGCCAAAAAGAGTCGGCGGCACGGTGCCGCAGTTGTCCTGGAACCAGTAGGACTCGTAGCTCGTCCAGTCATAGGTGCCAAAGTAGCTCGTGCAGGCGGCGTTGCCGAGCGCCGAATAGTAGCAGCTGAGGTATTGCACACCGTAGTTGCAATAGCATGACGAGATGCCGCTGCCCAGCTTCGAGTAGGCACCGTTGTTCGTGGCCGTATTGTCGGGGCCGTAGAACTGGGACTCGACGCCGTCGATGCAGCTGATGTACGCGCCGTCACACGAGAGCGAGGCGATGTAGTCGAAGCAGGACAGGTCGGCGCTCGCAAAGTTGGTCGAGATGTCCTGGCGCAGCTCGAGCATCCGCGCGGCAAAGGCCGTGGTGGCGGGCAGCTGCGGCAGCCGCGTCAGCGTGGCCGCCGTGGCCAGCGTCGCGGCCACCGTGGGAGCCGGAGGGACCAGCATGGGTGAGCGGGTGCAGTGAAGTGTGGGTGGAAAGGTCCAAGGGCGGGAAAGGATGCCAAGACGGTCGGATGGGACGATGGCAGCCTCAATGGTGAGATTGGAAAGTAAACAAAAGGCAGAAGGTCGAAACAACAGCAGAGTGGGAAAGCATGTCACCGACGCGAGAAGGAATACCGCGTCGTATATAACGGGCGGCTCTTGTGGACCAGCGTTGTGCAGGTATCTCTGGTTGGCTTCCTCTTTGCCTGCCTCGTCCTTTATTGATTTCCATTTTCGGCTTTGTCTCTTTCAGCTTTGTCTCCTTCGACTTTGCCCAAATGACCGGGCACGGCCCACCATTGTGAATTCCGCACCAGGCCAGGCATTTTCTATTCTCTGTGTTGTGTGGCATGGGCGCGGAAGCGTGTCGTCTTTCTTTTCTTTTCTTGGTTGCTGTCCCTTGTCGTTTGCCCAATGCCGATTCTCCTTTTCTCAGCCGCACGGGCATCGCTCGTCACTCTCGCTTCGGGCTGGCCAACCAGAGTGCGAGCCAAATATTGGCATAGCCATCAAGACAAAACGAGTCTAGAACGCGATGGAGCGGCGTGGGGAGGTCGATGTGAGAGGAAGTCCGGAAATGGATGCATCCAGTGGGAGGTATTTACTCCGTAGAAAGAGACCAACATTGGCCCGTCTGGCTGCTGCTGTCTTTGCTGTCTGACACAGAACGACGCACATACCCACATACCGTCGACGGACATCAGTTGAGCCTCATTCGAGACGGCTGCACAGCAATCGACGATGCCCGAAAAGGAGCATGCATCGCGAGACGACTGAGCCGTTTGATTCGCTCCGAAAGGAGAGCAATTTTGCAATTTGGTGGCGTCGACGGCAATGTGGCTGTTCAGACCAAGACAATAGTTTGTTCGCTGGAGGCCGTTGGACAGAATACTGACACATGCAGGGGATGGAGAGACACAACTCGACAAGCTGGACAAACACATGCAGAGGAGAAGCGGCCGGCAGCTCTGACAACGGATCGTGTCTGCCCTGTGCCAGCAACGGTGTCTGGGCTAAAACAGGGCTGCCTTGCTGGGCCACCACGACAGTGTCACCAGGCCTCCTTCCTGCAGTTCTATGGAGTATGTGGTACGACGTAAATCTCCATTAAGAAAGAGCGACGCAAATTTGTGGCTTGCTGTGGGGCTTGTGATAGGCCAACGTACGGTGCGCATTGAGCAGGTGCTTTCCGATAATCCACTCTGCAGAAAGAGCGACCAAGGCAGCCTAGACAATAACACTCGTGGAGGAGAAAGAGCGGCTGAAATAAGGGAAGGCACGGGAAACAGAAGGAACGGGAGACAGAAGGAGCGGGACACATAAGGAACTCGTGATCGGGCATGCACTGTCCACTGCCTTCAGTTGAGTCGGCGATCCAGCCTCAAGAAGCAACCGACAAATAACACGATCACGATACGCCTGTTGCTTTGTCGCAGACGGCCTAATGGCTGCGTGCCCAGCCTAGCTAGTCTGGTCAGTGCCAACTGCCATGTGCCACAGGCTGCGAGCACCGGAGGACTGACTCGACACCGAGATTATGGCATAAGACGTCGACGTCGGCGTCGACTACAGAGCTCTGCATACTCCATACAATCACAGGATCGACGCCGGCAGTCACCGATATCCTCGACGGAAACCTGTCGTCTCCCCGGCAATGACAGCCGCCCGATCCCCACCCGAATACCAGGTCGGGGGCTCGTCAGGGCCCAGCGCTAATCGGACAGGAGAATTTCGAAAGACTCAGTAGGCGCATCGGCGGCAAAACAACGTGACAAGACCGCCGCAGGCCCAGAGTGACGTGCAGCTCCGCAAATAGTGGACTAGGCAGTCTTGGGTCGCGGGAGGGTAAATGGATAAATGCACTGGCGGGGGACGGGCTAAATAGGACAAGCGACGCCGATGGGGCTGTTTTGGAGAAATGGGGGGGTTTTGCGTGGTCTCCTCGACGCTTTTTCTTCACCAGCGCACGGAAACGCGGGGCTGCACTCCGGACAAGACGCGGCCGAGGAGCCAGCGGCGGGAAGGGGAAAGGTGAAGAAGGGTCGGCTGGGCGAGGCGGTGGACGATCGAGGGATCCTTAAAAGCAGTGGCCGCCCATCCGTGACGTCTTTGCCTTGGAACTGGAGCATTGCACAACATTGACACAGCATTGGCCACACTCTGAGCAGAACCCCAGCACTACCGCCAACATGCCGCCGCCGCTCATCACGCACCTCTACACGGCCGACCCGTCGGCTCACGTCTTCGAGGGCAAGATCTACATCTACCCGTCGCACGACCGCGAGTCCAACGTGGCCTTCAACGACAATGGCGACCAGTTCGACATGAACGACTACCACGTCTTCAGCACGCCGTCCATCGACCCGCCGGCGCTCGTCACCGACCACGGCGTCGTGCTCAAGGTCGAGGACGTGCCCTGGGCCTCCAAGCAGCTGTGGGCGCCCGACGCCGCCGTCCGCGACGGCGTGTACTACCTCTTCTTCCCGGCCCGCGACAAGGACGGCATCTTCCGCATTGGCGTCGCCCGCGGCGACCGCCCGGAGGGCCCCTTCAAGGCCGACCCGGACTACATCCCGGGCTCCTACAGCATCGACCCGGCCGTGCTGGTCGACGACGTGGCCGTCGAGGGCGACAAGGCGCCCGCCTACCTCTACTTTGGCGGCCTCTGGGGCGGCCAGCTGCAGTGCTACCAGGGCCCCGACGGCCGCGGCGACGGCAACGCCGAGACCTACGACGCCGGCTGGCTGGGGCCCAAGGAGCCGTCCGGCGCGGGCGTCGCCGCCCTGGGCCCGCGCGTCGTGCGCCTCGCGGCCGACGACATGGGCCGGCTGGCCGAGGCGGTGCGCGCGATCCAGATCCTGGCGCCCGAGACGGGCCAGCCGATTGCCGCCGACGACCACGACCGCCGCTTCTTTGAGGCGGCCTGGATGCACAAGCGCAACGGCCTCTACTACTTTAGCTACTCGACGGGCGACACGCACTACCTGTGCTACGCGACGGGCACGAGCCCCTACGGCCCCTTCACCTACCGCGGCCGCATGCTCGAGCCCGTCGTCGGGTGGACAACGCACCACTCGGTGGTCGAGTTTGAGGGCCGCTGGTACCTGTTCCACCACGACTCGTCGCTGTCGGGCGGCGTGACGCACCTGCGCTCGGTCAAGGTCAAGGAGATTTTCTACAATGCCGCGGGCGACATTGTCTCGGAGCCGGAGAAGTAGGGGCATTAAAGGGGGGAGGACAGGAGTGATTTCGAAAATAAAAACTAGCATAGAATGGAACAACGGAAATACAGAAATACAGCGTTTTACTTGCATCTCGCACTGCCGCGAACATGACATTGAACATGACGCTGTAATGGCTCTTTGGCGTTTGGTGTTTGGCGTTTGGCGGCGGCTGGTCTGCACCGCTAATCGATGGCACAATAATGGCTACTGCATCACGCAACCGCACCATCACCATATGGAGACCCCGTCGTGTAAGTGAGAGCAAGCGAGCAAACAAAGACAAGGACCATATGGCATAAAGACGTCGGGCCGCCCACTTTCGCTCGCGATCCAGACTTTTGATAGACCGACACACACGCCATAGTCCACATCACACTTCTGCGGTGCGACACAGCTCCCACCATTCGACAACATGCCCTCCGCGACAGACGCGTCCTCGGCTGACGCCGCAGACGCGGCGCCGCTGCCCGTCTACTTTATCGGCCACGCCGGCGCCAGCCTGCTCTTCCGCGAGGACCGCAACGGCGCCGTCGTGCGCCAGAACCTGCGGGCGATTGGCCGCGAGATCCAGGCCATCACGCCGCCGCCGCGCGCCCTCTTGACGCTGAGCGGCCACTTTGAGGCCGGCGCGATCCACGGGCCGGGCGTCGTCGAGGTCAACGTCAAGCCCGCCACGCCCATCCTGCACGACTTTGTCAACGACTTCCACGACACGCGGCCCGCGCTCTACCAGGAGGCGTGGCCGCACCGCGACGACCCGGCGCTCGCCGTCGCCGTGTGGAAGCACCTGCGGGGCCGCAAAACGCCGGACCCGATCGCGGCCAAGCGCGTCGAGCGCGGCGTCGACCACGGCCTCTGGGTGCCCTTCAAAATCATGTTCCCCGAGGACGCGCCCCTCGACCTTCCCGTGGTGCAGGTGTCGACGTTCCACGGGCCCGACCTGGCGAGCCAGGTGCGGCTGGGCGAGGCGCTCGGCGCGCTGCGGCGGCAGGGGTTCCTGATTGTCGCCTCCGGCATGGCCGTGCACTCGTTTGCGTCGCGCGCCGAGGTGGCCGCCGCGACGACCGACGCAGGCCGCGCGGCCGCCCACGCCCGGGTCTTGCAGGAGTCGCGCACGCTCGACGACCACATCCGCGCGGCGACGCTGCGGCGCGACGCCCAAGACCGGCGCGCGGCGCTGCTGGCCCTCGAGCCGCTGCGCGAGTTTCGGCGGTCGCACCCGACGGTCGAGCACTTTACGCCGCTGCTCGTGGCGGCCGGTGCCGCGGGCGATGCCGACGTCGCGGTGCTGGGCGAGGACGTGGTCGAGCCGGGGTTTTCCTACATCAACTTCAGGTTCACGTGAGATGCGGTCAAGGAAGAAACAAACAGAAACGGAATCGTATTCAAATATGTATCGTGCGAGACAAAAATAACAAAAACCAAAAGACTAAAAAAGGCAAAATGGATTCAAACGGTCAAAAACTCTACTCGCATGCTAAACTCGCTCGGCTCGGTCGGCTCGCTCCCTACTCCTTGACCGACGCCATCACGCTCTCGATCCACGGATACACCGATGCATTCGAAAACGGGTAGCCCATGTGCAGCTTGCCCGGGAAGAACCGCGCCTCCTTGGGCGACCCGTGGTCGAACAGCAGCAGCGAGTCCTCGATCGGCATCAGCCCGTCCTGCGTGCCGTTGATCAGCAGCAGCCGCGTCGACGGCTGGTCCAGGACGCCCGTCGCCAGCAGGGAAAACCGGGCCTGCACGCCCGCGACGTAGTCCTGCGCCGTCGCGAACCCGTGCTTGCGGGCCAGCGCGGGCGTCAGCTGGAACGGGTACTCGTGCCCGTCGGCGCGCGCCAGCCAGGCCGGCTCGAAAAAGTGGTGCACGCCCGCGCCCTGCGCCACGGACCCGGCGAGCTGCGCCCGGTGCGTGTGGGCGATGCGCACGGCGTAGTAGCCGCCCGCGCTGAGGCCCCACACCACGATGCGCCGCATGTCGAACACGCCGCTGAACGCCGCCATCCACGCAAACAGGCTGTCCCAGAGCCGCTCGGGACTCGTCGGGTCCGCCGGGTCCGCGGGGCAGTCCGCCGTGCCCGGGATCTCGAGCACCACGCTGGCCCAGCCGCGTGCCAGGAACTCGTCGCAGCGGCCCGTGTTGTCCGGCCGGTAGCCGTCGAGGCCCGTGAGCAGCACAATGACGGGCACCGGCCGCGGCGCCAGCGCCTCGGGCGGCAGCCGCAGGTACACGGGGATGGCGTCGCCTTCCACATTGTGTGCATTGCCACTGCCGTCGTTTTGTAGCCGGCGCCGGTGGATGTGCGGCACGAGCACCTCTTCGATGGGCACCTCCCACGTCTTGGCCGCCTTGAGGTACGCCGCCTTCTGTGCCGTCCATGCGCGCCACTTGACCTCGTCGTTGACAGTCGGCGCCGCCGTGATGTAGGGGAACCGGGCAATGCGGTAGACGGCGCAGGCCCGGAGGTAGAGGGCGGACGCCGCTTTTTGGGCCTCCTTGTCTTTGCCGTCGTCGCGTCCGTCGGCGGCAGCGAGCAGTTGATCCGCCTGGGCCGTCAACGCCTCGGCGGTCGGGAAAAAGGCCTCCGTGTAGGCCGCCGACGTGCCGTCGTTGATGTCGTTGGCAATGAGGTGCGCAAAGATGGGCTCAAAGTCCTCGTACTGGCCGTCGTGGAACGGGTACACGCTCTGCGTGCACGGAAACTTCCACTTGGTCTCCCACAGCGCCTTGATGCCGCTGTGGTGCGGCATGCGCGCCTCAAACGCCTCCTTGCCCATGATCCACGACCGCTCCGCTTCGGCACGGCTGCTTCCACCGCTCGTACCGTTCACGGCACGGCTCTTGTCGCTCGCCGATGTATTGGACCACATGTTGTCCGTTCACGTCCCCTGCTTCGACAGTTGGTATAGGAAAGGATGGCTTAGTTGCTGAAAGAGACCGTGCGGGTGACGGTGCGCTTCGTGAACTGAGCAGGCTTGCCAAACTGGTGGACGGGCGTGACCTTGGAGTTGCGGCGGCGGACAACGTCGCGGCTTGTGTTGGTCTCGAGCTTGTCACGGGCCCTGCACGGGTGGTTGAGTTAGTTTATACTGTCGGCTTGCCACTGCGGCCGAGGCCGGCTGCGAGTAAGAGTGAGGAGTGAGAGTGAGAGTGAGAGTGAGAGTGAGATTGATTCTGCTGTATATTTCGGAACGATACACGGCAGTCGACCACGACAGAGTCAAGGCGATCATCAAAAAAACGGACAGGAAAACTGCAGGAAACTGCAGGAAAACAAGGGAGGGTAGCACAACACCAAACGTACAGCAGACGGATGTAGCCCAGACGGATCTTGGCCAGCGCGTTGTTGCAGTGCGCCGTGAACTTTTCGTTTTCGTCGAGCGACTTGACCGATGCACGACGATTTTGCGCGTTCCAGTTCCAGTTCCAGTTCCAGCTCGAGTTCGAGTTTGCGTTTGCGTTTGCATCCGTGGGAAGGCTCGGGAAGGGCGTGGTGCCCTCGGCCGTATATGTACGCAGGCGAGGCGACTCCATGGCGGCGGTTGCTCTTTGCTGGTGCGGGCGGAAGAATAGAACGAACAGTATGGGACTGGGGTACACTGGTATACCTGGTGGCCAGTCGGGCTAGTTGGCGACAGAGTCGAACAATAGAGTGGTAATATAGGCGTTTCTGAGACCGGAGTCGTGGTGAGGATAAACAAAGGGGGAGCGCTAGAGGGCAGAGGGCAGAGGGCGTGGGATGCAAAAGACAAAAATAGATGACGAGAAGGAGGAGAAGACGGAGACGAGATTAACGAGAGGTTCAGATCTGACGGCTCGAGGCTCTGTTTTTCTTTGCACGACGCGGGAGCGGGATCTGGGTTGGGGATATCCGACGAGTGTGGAGGGCAGCGAGAACCCGAAAGTGCGGAAGCAGTGGACGGTCACAAAGAACAAGGAGAAGACAAAGGAGAAGAGAAGAGGGAGAGGAGACAGAAGTGCACGCCACGACAGGATATATACGCACAGTGAGTGGGTTCGCGGGCGTGCCAGTCGTTGTTTCCTCATCCGACAAAGGTTCCTTCCTTCCTTTTTGTCGAGTCGGGCTTTGTGTTTTCAGTCGTGTGGCAGGTGACGTGTGGTTCGTCACTGCCCACAATGGGGTGTAATTACTGTGTAAGTGGTCGCTTCCTGCCAAAAATACCCAAGGAGCACTGCCCAAAAGGGGAAGGAAGCACCCACACCCGACCGGGGCCGGAGCAACGCCACACGCCAGCCAAAGCAATACGCCGTAAAGTGCAGCAACATGCTGAAACATGCGAGAGAAAAAGACATGTGATTGTCCAGCATTGCGTGGCACGGCTGCGGCATAGTGCCTTGGCCCTTTAGAAGGGCAGCCAGTGAGTGAGGGGAAGAGCCACCAAAGTACGACATACTACGAGCCACGCCCAGACGCTAAACAAGCCAAACCCAGGCCTGAGAGCACCAAACGGACGGCAACAAAGCCCCAAAGGCGTGGGGTACGACGGATATCCGCAACCAATTGTACTTGAAGGATCGCCGGAACAAGACGCTTTGGGAACCGGGCAGCGGAATGAGAGGATGCGAAAGGGGATGGAGACGTTGGGAGGAAACCAAGATGCGGGCAATCCAAGTATTGACAGGTCTTCTTGTGCTGAAAACTGATGATCTCCGAGTTAAGAAAAGGAAGGCAAATAACATCGGAAGGGTTCTTTTCCTTTCAGGTTGAGGAAAGGATCATCTCAGCTGGCGGGCTGAATGTCGTCTGCTGCACGGCATACGGTGTCATTCTGCCACGACAACGAGGTGCAGTGGACTATTGCATGGATGGTAGTACGTCGGAATTCCGGCCAAGACTCCATAAAATCGAGGATGCCCAACACCAACAGACGTATACGACACTGCTGTGTACGAGACACGATGCAGTACCAAACGAGCGTCACCCAGTCCTGCCCTCAATACGAGTTGGGTACAAGACCCGTCGCCAGTCTTGGCCTGGTCGATTTATTGGCGCTTTTTCGAGGCACACCAAATGGCTGTGCCCTATGACGAGCAGTTTGACGGAGCATTACGACGTCGTAGCAAATACTGCATTGGCCATAAACTGCCGCTTCAGTTTCAAATACGCAGGCGGTTGCAATATATTGAATACGACGTAAAGAGTAACATGGGAAAATACGCTTGCTGCTGTATATTGATTGTCAATAGCCGAGTAGATCCGTCTCTGCATGGCTCTGTCGACCTTCCAGTCCTTGTCGACTCGTGCGAAGCGCGCCTCTAAATAGCCACAAATGGAAGAAAACGTCTAGAAATAGATCATGTGCGAGACGAAGAAACCAAATCAAACACGTATGCTCGTGCGCCAAACCATCACGGCCGCTGTGTGTCAACAGAGGACCGGAGAAAATGCAAATAAAAATAATAAAAATCAAAAGAATCGTGAGGTCGCCATTCAATGACCTTGACCTTGCAAGTCCACCCTCCCCACTACCACCAGCAACGCCGCCATGCGCCGCGAGGAGTGCCCTCGTCACGTATCCCTGCCGCCGTGGTAGAACCAGGCCCGCCCGCGGCGGCCTGCGTCAACTGAAGCAAAGCTCACAGCTTGTCTAGAGTGCGTCGAAGAGCAAAGAACCAAGTCAGCCGCATGCCAAGCTGCGGACGTGGTGCGGTGGGAGGAGGGGCAAAGGCAAAGGAACGGTCGGGGACGGGGGTCTCTTATGTACTGGACTTGGCAGCAACGCCGTTGGTGTTGCCGGCCGTGTTGTAGTAGTGGGCCATCTCGAGGCCGGCGCGCCGGAAGCCGCACTTGACGTAGAAGCCCTCGTTGGCCTCGCTGCAGTCGAGGATCGTCTTGTAGCAGCCGACCTTCTCGGCGATGAAATCGAGCGCCTGGATGATGCGGAGACCCAGTTTCTTGCCCTGCTGGTCCTTGGCGACGGCAATGTCCTCGATGTGGCCGACAATGCCCAGGTTGTGGATGCTGGTGGGGGAAGAACGTGGTTAGCAACGGACACGCATGCACAGTCTACAGTGTGCAGGGGGGGACATGTGTGGACTCACAACTTCCGCTCCACGACGAGCGCACCGGTGCCGACGACCTTGCCGACGGTGTCCTCGATGACGAGGACGTAGTAGGTGCCCTTCTGCTGGGCAAAGTAGTTGTAGCGCTCGACAAACGCGGCCTCGGTGATGTCGCCGACCGTCGTCAGCACGCGCAGGCAGTCGAGAAAGCCAGTCGCAAAGTCGGTGGAGCGCAGCGAGCGGATGCGGTAGCCCTCGGGCAGCTGGGACGAGACCTCGGGGCTAACGAGGTCGTCGCCAAAGAGGCCCTCGGCTGACATGGCGAAGACGGTGTGTGTGAAGAGGTGGGTAAAAGACAAAAGGCACGGATATGCGAGGAGAGTCGTCCGTGCGTGCTCAGAAAGGCGGCTGGACGCTGTTGTTGGGAAGTAAGGAGAAAGACGGAGGAGGCGAGAGAAGGACGGAGCAGAGAAGCAAGAAAGGGTATTTATATTTGTCAAGATGAGCTGGAGAAGGCAGGTTCGTGATGTAAAGCAGGTTCGTGATGTCGAGAAAGAAGGAGCGACGGTCTGGTTCGAATCGGCCGAGGAAGGAGCGCGCGGGAAGCTATATTATCGTCGCGGGCAGGCGGAAAGGAGGGTGCAGTCGAGGAAGGAGCGACTGGGGTCCAGTCTATGGAGCAACGAGCGTGGGAGTCAGGCGAGAGTGACGGCAATGTGAATGCGAAGTGAGGCAGAAGTAAGAAGCAAGAAGCAAGCGGGTGCACGACGATCTTTAAACAGAAAGGAGACAGCCGCAGCTCAGAAGCTAAAGGGAGAGAATAATCAAGAAGCCTTGGTTCGCCAATCCGCAATTCAACAGCTTGTCTGTTCTTAGTGCAGCAGGAACGATGGACGGACCTCGCGACAGGGCCAAACAAGCCAAATAATCCAAACAAGGTTTTGGCAGGAGCAATCCGCCTGCCGTCCGCCTGCAACGCAACGGCAAAAGCGTGCGACGCAGCCAAAAGAACGAGCACTGCCCCACGGACCCCTGGGCTAGTGTGTGACAGTGCTCGATAGGGCGAAGCTGGCAAGCTGGCTTCGCTGGCCTTCTAAAAATACGAGCTCGCGGAATAAAAGGTGAGCAACAGACCCAGAGAGAGCCTTGGTGGGGCAAGCAGGGCAGGAACCAGCCTGGTGGCTGAAGCCAAAATAAGCAAATCAGGGCCAGGCTGGGCGAGGCGTGCCAGGCTTCCAGGCCAACGGCGAATGACGACGCTATTTGGGACTGTGGTGAGATCTCACGCTTTCTTAAATTGGCATGAAAGGAAGGTCGTCCTCTTTGCTTACCGGCCGTGCACTCAGACACTCAGTTTCGACAACTTCCATCAGATTGACTTCGTTTCATAGAAATGGAAGGAAATATGAGCAATGCTTGGTTAAGTTTTTTTTAGTTTTTTTTTTTTAATTTTTTTTTTTTAAAAAAAAAATTGCATATAAAAATAAGAAAAGTTACAAATAATGATGAAATACATGAAAACGATAAACTGCCCACACATCTTTAGGTTCCCAAACCTCTGCATTCTTCCAGTGCCCTTCTCAACCTCACACGGGACTGCAGTCTATGTACTGCGACAGGCTAGGTGCCGACGTCGTACAGCCGTCTATTTGTGTACCATCGATCGTCGCACAAAGGTATACAGAGTACGGAATACCTCTGTCCCCTGTTACCTCGCGTCTTGGGCCAGCTCGAGCCTCGATGAAAGCTGCTCAGAAAGCAATGCCAAGAGCGACAGACCTTTTGCTCAGGACATGGAAGAATGTTGTGAAAACTAGAGTGGCCAAGATGGGCAATGTGACTTTAAGCTCGCTGGATCTACGCACGTGACTTCTCACCTGAATGAATTCGCATCTTGCGTGTTAGTTGCCACTTTCCCAACAAGAAATGCCCCCCACTTGAGTCGGCGGCCTAGGGCCCCTGGAACACCCGCTGAAACAATATAGTGCGCTGTCACATGCTTCTGCCCTGAGTCCCGGTAACTGGTCGCCCTTGCCCCTGGGGCCAGACACAACAAAAGCGTGCAAAGCGTTGAACAGACGAGAATTCCAGTCGATTTGCCTTCTCGGGCCTGTTGTCCTTTGTTGTGCCCGACGCGACGCACTCGAACCTTGCCACACTGCCCGACAGGGACGAGACGAGGACGGGCCCGTCGCCTGCAAGACCGTTCGTCGTACAAGTCGACCGCGGTCCGCACCTTTGGGGACCTGTGAGGCGAACCTCTGATCAATGTACGTACGCAAACACCTGCAGTTCAGATCTCGTTTCGATCGGGCCCGGCACCTGCGAGTGGCACTACCGACATTGTCCACTTCCTCGGGGCGCTCAACACACGTCTCGCCATTCTCCCATTGTACACAAAGTACCGACGACTGAACGTTTGACTCCACCGGCTCCACGCGCGACCCATCGTGACATCATCTCCAGCGCGTGCTGAGTACGGGCTGAGAGGCTCCAGAGCATGGCACGCCGGGCAGCGGCTATTTCAACACAAGGACGCCTTTTCGATTGTTGATTGCCGTGTCTTGGCATCTCTCCAACGCTCCCACGCCGGCACAACAATGGAGACGGACCACGCCTCAGGCGAAGAAAAGGAGAATTGGAGCGACAAGGACAAAATGGACGGCAGCCACATCGCCCATCCCGCCACCGCCGACATGCACGGCCCGCCGCCGCCGGAGCTGGGCAGTCCGCTGCTTCCGCCGTCCCTTGCACGCACCATCACCTTGGGCACCGGCACCATTCGCGGGGCCGTCCGCACGGCGCGCTCGGTCGGCCGCGTGCCCTTTTACGCGGCCCAGTACACGACCGCGGCGGGCATCGAGATCAGCCGCCGCGTGCTGGACGCGACGCTGGGCCAGACGGGCCGTAATCTTTGCGCACAGTGTGTCACCGTGGACCGGGGCGCCGGCAGCGGTGGTGGCGATGGCGATGGAGAGAGTGACGAGCATAATGACGGACAGGACGGAGACGCCGACCGCGCACGCATGGAGTCGGTCGTCCGGTCGACGTCCGAGGCGGCGCAACGCGGCTTCAACTACCTGCAGCTGGTGACGGCGGCGGGCTTTGAGCTGACCGGCAGCAGCGTGGCCACGCTCATGGACGCGTCCGAGGTGCTGCTCATGCTGCTCAACAACACACTGGGCTCGACCGAGTCGTCGCGGGCCCTGCGCAGCATCCTCAAGTTTCTGTCGCAGGAGTTCCAGAACCCCGCCACGGGCCTGCCCGGCGAGCGCGTCGGCATGCGCGATCTGCTCTGGGGCGTGTGCGGCCTCGTGTACCTGCAGTCGGTGTGCCGGCAGCAGGACGAGCAGCTGCGCGTCAGCCAGGCGCTCGAGACGGTCGTCTGGGACGTGGTCGTCCTGGACGGCCAGAGAGTCGACGTGCACGAGAGCAGCCTCTACGGCATGCACCGCGGCTCATACCAGCCGCTGCGCACCGAGCAGAAGGAAAAGGGCCACATGGACGGCCACGTGGACGGCGCGGGCGACAACGAGGCCGACAGCGACGAACCCGACCTGGCCGAGTCTCTTATCCGGAGCCAAGTGCTGGCCGCCACATCGTCCGATGCCCGAATCACAGTGTCCACCACCACAACCAAGACGGTCACCGTCGACATCACCGCCAGCCAGCCGCCGCCTCCCATCGCACCACCACACGGCGTCGAGCTGGTCGAGCTGGGCCCGCTGCGGTCCTACCAAGACACCGTCGCCGGTTCGCATGCAGACCAGAGCCCGACGACATACCGCATTGTGTTCCGCATAAATATGGACGGCGAGCAAACAGGACCCGACTCGCCAACGAGCCCGGCCCTCGAAAACACGATACGTAGAATTGAGCAGGTAGACGACTCGTCGTCCGACACACCAATGGAAAACGCCGGCATACCCTCGACGGAGAAGACGACTGCACCGACGACAGCACCTATATTTCCAACCAGCGAAGCCGACCGCAGCAAACCGTTGCCTGCCTCTCCGACCACGGCCGCAAAGGGTGCCGGCCATACGCGGTATCCTCTTGAGACGCTGCAGCCACAGCCATCTGTTGCCAACCAAAAGAAGGTTCGTCAGCCAGCAGCTGCTGCTGCTGCGTCATCCACCCAGTCACGGACGTCTTCCAGCAGAACGCCCGTCGTTCCTGGCCGCCGCTCGTCGGGCCAGGCGACAACGACGATGACAGCATCTACGAAACCGGCGACGACGGCCACCGACAAGAAGGCGTCGGGCGGTATTCGTGCCGCATTCAAAAAACCCGCGCTTGGCAACCTGCTCCACAAGGAGCCACCGTCGTCAAACTCCCAGTCCAAGTCGGCAACCACAGAGCCAGCATCGTCCACGCTGTCCACGCTGTCCTCGACCGCCCGCAAAAGCGCCACCACCCGGGCTCTCTCACCCCCTGCATCACTCGTGCTGCCGAACAAGAAGAGCAAGACGAACAGAGGCAAGGCCAGCGACAAGGAAAAGGCCGACAATGCCACGGCCCCCAGCGCGCCGCCGTCGCGGACCAGCGCGGCGAGCAACAAGACCCAGCTCGTACGGACGCCGCTCACGTCCGGGGCCCTCTACCGACACGAATCGCCTCCGCTGCGCCCGCCAACGCCGGCCAGGGACAGCGACATGCCCCATGCCTACGGCAGCGTCCACCACCGCAGAGGGAAGAGCACCATTCCCGACGACCTCCGCTCGATTGCCTCGTTTGCCTCCTTGGCCTCGTCGCTCGCCGACAACATCTCCATCCACACGACGCAGCATGACACAGCACGTCCTGGCACCGCAACCAGCCCCAAGGGCCATCGATCACGGGCGCACCGCGGCAGCATCTACACGCTGCACACAAACGACTCCCAAGCGTCGCTGATCCTGTCGGCCTACGGCCCCGGTCGGAGGAGTTACATGGATTCGGGCGGCGGCGGTGGCGGCGGCGGCGGCGGTCCACCTGGTGGCTTGGGAAGCGACGGGTATGGTCACGGTCCGGGGGGTCCTGCTGGCAAGAAGGGCCACCCGATGCGTCCCTTTGACATGCTGAGCGAAGTGCGGCGCACCGGACGGGTTCCCGGCATGTTTCCGCAAGCCCCGCTGGCGCGCAACCTGCAGCGGTACATGCGCTTCTCGTCCGCCGCGTACGGCCGGGACTTTCTGCGCGCGATGAGCATCACGTCCGCCGCGTTTGGCCCCTACGACGGCAACGACCCGGACGGCCGCAAGCAGCGCGATACCCAGAACGTGCACCACGAACTCGTGTCGTACGCGCGGCACACGGGCGTGGCCCCCGCGGACATTCTCATGGCCTCCTTCATCGACGTCAAGGGCGGGCCCGACGCGGCCGGCCTGACGCGCATGCCGCTCGTGCACTACATCACGCTGGACCACGCGTCCAAGGCGGTGGTGCTGGCCTGCCGCGGCACGCTCGGCTTCGAGGACATTCTGGCCGACATGGCCTGCGAGTACGACGACCTCTACTGGCGGGGCCGCACGTACCAGGTGCACAAGGGCGTGCACGCCTCGGCCCGCCGCATTCTGTACGGGGGCGACGGCCGCGTCTTGGCCACGCTGCGCGACGCCCTGCTCACGCACCCCGACTACGGCCTCGTCCTCTGCGGCCACTCGCTGGGCGGCGCCGTCACGGCCCTGCTGGGCGTGATGCTCTCCGAGCCGCGGCCCGTCCACGCCGGCAGCGCTGGTAACGCCGGCAACGCATCTGGTGCGAATGGAAGCGCATCCGCATCTGCCTCCGAAACCGCATCCGCGGCGGCCCTGGGCCACTACTGCTTCCAGACCAAATCGGCGCCGCTTCGTCTCCTGGCGAGTGCTGCTGCTGCTGGCACCAGTGGTTCAGCGAGCGCCAGCCGTGAGGTCCCCAGCCTGCCGCCGGGCCGGCCGGTGCACGTCTTTGCCTTTGGGCCGCCGGGCACCATGACGCCGGCCCTCTGCAAGATGACGCGCGGCCTGATTACGAGCGTCGTGCAGGGCAACGACCTGGTGCCCTACCTGTCGCTCGGTGTGCTGCACGACCTGCAGGCCGTCGCCCTGGCGTTCAAGACGGACAAGAGCCACGCGTCGGCGGAGCTGTGGAGCCGCATGTGGCACAAGATGCGCACCATGATGACGGAAAAGGTGTTTGGCAAGGCAGCCGCGGCGGCGGCGGCAGCCGCGGCGGCCGACAGCGCCAAAGCAGCAGACAATGCGGGTGCGTTTGCAGCCGATCCCGGCAGTGGGCCTGGCGTCGGCATTGACGATGCATGGGCCTACGCGGCGCTCAAGACGCTGCGCGTGAGCATGATGAGCCCCAAACTGCTTCCGCCGGGCGAGGTGCTCGTGGTCGAGATGCAGCGCGTGCTGCAGCGGACGTCGTACGGTACGGGCGCACACGCAGGCGGAGGCGGAGGCACCGACGCGATGCTCATGGTCTTGCCGGCGCAGCGGGTCGTGTTCAAGCACGTGCGCGACGTCGAGGCGCGGTTCCGGGAGATCCAGTTCTCGCTGGCCGCGTTTACGGACCACAGCCCCGGGCGCTACGAGAAGGCACTGGACCAGCTGGTGGCCGGCGTGTGATGACGTGGGCGAAGGGAGGGAGGACTGGACAGGTTGGGTTGGCGAAATGTTTGGACGAGATACGAGTCTATCGAAGATGGAGACGACGCAATGAATGATACCCTAGACAGGAAAATTTATAATGGTTACACAATAGACCTGCGATAGCTACACGACACAAAATACACAAGATACAACATTATCCACATTTGGTAGAAGGCACGGTGCAAACGCGGACCGCGGCCGACGTCCGGCCATCGACTGCCCGCTGGCCCGCGCTCTGCATTTTCTAGGCGCCTCCATTGGATGGAAAAATTGCCGACAGGGGTTTTGACTCCACGTCCTGTTGTCGCTGTCCTGCTAACGGCTCGGCACAGCCAACAGTGCGAACCCTACAACGGAATAGTCAAACCTCGGCGCATTGGCCGCCGAGACTACTTTGAATTGTTGCGTACTTGTGTACTGTTTTGTTGGTGTGTATTTTTGCAAGTCCATTTTTGCGGTAGATTCTATGTCGTTGAATGCGTTTTTGCCTTTGCCGGCACCTCCCGTCTACGGCTTGTCCGGGAAGCCAAAGGGAATGCCAAACGGCGGGTACACAAACCGCTGCAGCTGGCCGTCCTTGGTCAGCTGGGCCGAGTACGCGTCGAGCGCCGCCACGTCCTCGGCGTCCAGGTCGACGACCGTCTTGTTGGCCTCGATGCGCGCGTCGCTGACCGACTTGGCCAGCACGGTGCTGCCGCGCGCCAGGTGGTAGCTCAGCAGGACGGCGGCGGGCGGGACGCTGTGCTTGGCGGCGATGGCGGCAATGGGCGCGGCCGTGAACAGCGGGCCGCCCGTGCTGCCAAAGGGGCTGTAGGCCATGACGTGGATGCCGCGCGCGCGGCAGAGGTCGACAATCTCCTGCTGGGGGAGGGCCGGGTGGTTCTCGATCTGGTTGACGGCGGGGACGACCGTGGCGACGGGGAGCAGTTCCTCGAGGTACTTTTTGCTGTACTGCCATGCGAGCGAGCGACCGACCGAGCGACCGACCGACCGAGCGTTAGCGAGGGAACGAAGAAAAAGAAGCAGAAGAAGACGAAGAAGAAGAAAAACAGTGTAGAGAGGAGCGTACGTTGGAAACACCAATGGCCTTGGTCTTGCCGGTGCCGACGAGCGTCTCCATGTTCTTCCAGATCTGGATGTGGCTGTAGTCGCGGATGATGTCGCGCTCGCCGTTGGGCAGCTTGGGGAACCGGTCGTCGGAGCCCTCGGGGTTCATGAGAAGCGGCCAGTGCACGAGGTACAGGTCGACGTAGTCGAGGCCCAGGCTCTTGAGCGTCTTGTCCAGGCCCAGCTCGACGCGCGACGTGTAGGTGGCCCAGACCTTGGACACGACAAAGACGTCCTCGCGCTTGACGCCCTTGGCAAACGCGGCCCGGAGGCCCTGGCCGACCTCGTCCTCGTTGCCGTAGCAGTAGGCCCCGTCGACGAGGCGGTAGCCGTGGGTGACGGCGTACTCGACGGCCGAGGCGACCTCGCCGGGTTTCGATTGCCAGGTGCCTGAAAGGAGTTAGAGAGGGAAAGACTGACAATGCCGCAAGGCGTAGAAAGACGGCTCAAGCAGTGACCTACCCAGACCCAGCGCGGGTATCTCGGCGCCGGTGTTGAGCTTGAACGAGCGGTCGGTCATGGTGTCGGTGGAGTACCGTTGGTGGGAGAAGGGGAGATGAGCAGAGTTGGTGGGAAAAGGGCGAGTGATGCGTGTTTGGACCAAAAACAAGGATCGTGAGATGGAGCGTGAAGCAGTAAACCGACACATGCAAGAGAATGTTTATGGGGAAGGAAGACCAGAATGGACCAGAATGGGGCAGGAAGGAGAAAGAGGAGCTGCGAGGAAGGAACCAAGGGTAGTAAATAGGCGAAAATAAATACTAAAATAAAATAAAAAATAAAAGGCAGAAACGGCCAAGAAATCGGCAGGAGCTCAAAAGCAAGAAACGGCAAGAGGTAGCATACCAAAGGTACAGGAAGCCACGATGGGCGGCCCACGCGACGGAGGGGCCCCCAATTGCATCCACTCCCGCGGGTAAATACCCCCCGATGACGTCCAAAGTGGTCAAGATACGCTTGTGGGAAAGGGCTAGGGACTGCCAGACAGGGCGCTATCGGCCGGTAGGTCAGGACGGCCAGGGACAGATTTTAGCGGATGCTGTGCCTCTGCGGGCAATGTTCGGCGTCCGATACGTAGTTCGTCCAGGCCAAGCTGCCGCTAGTTCTTCTTCCTCGCCCGCTAAATCGGGAGTCGGCGGACGCTGCGCCAGAGTGGCCGAGAAGAGGGACTGGACAATGGACGAGACGTTGTGGTTAGGGATCATCTTTGGGCACTCTCTCCAACCCAAGCTCGTTATACTAGACGATGGTGAGGCAGCGAAAAGATGTGTCTCGAACTTTGTCGATGTCGAGCAGGTTATAGGTCAGATGAAGTGGCTGTGGGCTGAAAAGATTGTGGCTCTATATTCGCATGAATTCAGTAAACATACACTTGTACGACATCCATACTAGCAGGCTGACTGTCTTTATCGGCTCGCGGAGCTCGCACAGACGCAAACGACGCCATATGCACTAGTCCGTGATGGTAGGATCTGGCGATGATGGGCACAGCGGCACCACGACACAAACAAAACCGGAAATGGTACCGACATCCGGGGCTAGCGACGCTACGGGAAACGCCCGAAGAACACAAAGCGTATGAGACCGGGGAGTGAGATCATACGCACGGTACTCGGGTGTGCTTTGGGAATGGGGATTTGAGGGTTTATCACTTTGAGGAGACGTCTCCTGCGTGAAGCTTCAACATGTGACTGTCTATTGTATTGGATTCAGCGTGGGGTAGATGGTTGTTTTAGCCCTGTACTCCGGTCGATGCCTGGTTAAAAAACACAAAGGAAAGGAAAACAAAAAAGACGGGGAATAGAAGTGAAGAAAGACAAAGGGAAAGGGTGAATAAAAAAAACACAAGAAAGTAAATCCTGGCAAGCTGCGCCACCCGGCCTAATACTACAAAAAAAAGAGCCCCCTTCTTCTCCAGACTCCAGATTACCACTGCCGTTCCTGCTTTGTCGTTGTTGACATGTCGTTGTTGACATGTCGTTGCTTGTCGTTGGTTGTCCACTGTCGGCCCCGCGTCCTGCTCTCGCCTATCCGGCAATCAACACCCAGAGCAAGAAGAAGATCATCAGGACGCCAAACATTTTGGCAATCAGCCAGCGGTTGCCCGACACGCGGCCCCAGTACTTGAGCAGCTCCTTCTGGGCGCCCTGGACGTTCTCGACCACAGACTCGGTGTTGGCGTCGATGCGCTCAATCATCTCGGACTGCTCCGAGACCATGGACGCCAGCTGGCTGAAGATGGAGCCGAGCTCCGAGATGGTCGACTCGATGGCCTCGATGGCCTCGCCGCGCTGCTGGATGTACATGTTGCTGGGCTGCGCCTCCTCCATGAGCATGAGCTGCTGGTCGCTGACGGCGGGGTTGAGCGACAAGAGGCCGCCGCCGTTGCTGCCGCCGCTGCCGCTGCCAACACCGCTGCCGCCGAGCAGATCCGGTGGTGCGGAGCCGGACGCGGCATTGCGGAACGTCGGGGTGTTGCGGCCGCCCGTCGCGGCGGCGCTGCCCGATGTCGAGGCGGCGTAGAGGGGCGATGCGGACTGCTGGTGGAGGAGGGCGCCGGGTGGTTGATGCTGATTTTGTTGTTGCTGCTGCTGCTGCTGCTGGACGGTCTGGGCGACGTGGGAGATGAAGTTGTCGGTGCGGGCGCGGGTGGACTGCAGGTTCTTGGTGCGGACCTCGAGGACCTCTTTGAAGTTGGCAGACACGCCCGTCAGGCGGTCCTGCAGCAAGAAGACGACGTTCTTGCGGTGCTCGCCCTCCTCGGTCTTGCCCTGCTGCTGCCGCGTGAGCGCCTGCAGGTTGGAGATTTGCTGGTTGAGGCCGGCTACGAGCAGTCAGTATATGTACTCGAGGTCATTCCCAGGGCATCGACAGTTCACCGGCCATCGTAGGAACCTACCCAAATTCTGCTTCACGACAAAGGTCAGCTCGTTGACCTCGGTCGACTTGTCGTCAAACATGCTCTTCCGTTTCGCCACTGTGTTGTTAGTAAAGTGTCAGACAACCTCAACCTGGCGTTTGTCCCATTCACCAAGGATCGTCAGGGCCACCTACACAATGCCAACCGCTCCAGCTTCGCCATCGTCGACGAGATGCCCCGGCCAATCTCGGCCGCGCGCCGCGCAAACTCGGACCGCGACGACACAGGCCGCGTCCCTGGCGCCGCTGCTGCGGCGGCGGCGTCTGGATAGCCGTCGGCCGACAGCAGCGGCTGCGCCTGCTCGTGCCGTTGTGCGTCGTTGCTGGCCTTGCCCAGCAACATCATGGAGCGCTTCGCCTGGGCTGTGGCGCCGGCGCCGCCCTTGGCCTGTGCCTGCCGCCGCGCGGCCTGCTGGACGACCGCCTGGAACTCGACCGTGCGGTCCTGGATCCGCGAGACGGCCATTGCGAGGGATGGTGGGAGGGAGGGGAGCGCGGTGGGCGAGTGTGAAGAGCGAGTCGACAGAGGTTGCGACGCCGAATCGATGGGTCTTGTCTGCCGTCTCGGATGGATTCACGCGCGGAGATGGGGGCTTCGTCACGCGTCGGCGCCGGTTGCGTCTGGTCTCGTCCGTTGCAGTGCGTTGTCGCTCGGGGGTCTGAGGGTGGTCGCCGTCGTGTTGTGTCGTTTGTGGTTGTTGAAGGTGTGTCGTGTTGCGCGCAGTCGGAAAAAGGGGAAGGCCAACTCAATCTACGGCCACGTCGGTTTCGTCAGCGTGTCCTCTGCAGCCTTGTTGGGGCGTTGGCCGGGAGGAGAAGGCGCAAGAACAGAAGGAGCGAATGAGCGCAACAAGTCAAAAGGCCAAGAGAGAATATCGCCAAAACAGACGTCACACGGGAAGGAGCGACTGAAGATGAGCAAATGCGAGAGTTTGTCGAGAAGGAAGTGTCAAAGTGTCGAAATGATGATTTGTTGGCATGTGCGACCCAGAGCCAGAAAAGACCCAAAACAGGAAGGACGTTGGGGGTGACGACGGGGCGCTGAGAGAGCCTAGTTTTACTTGCTTTTGCTGCTTTTGCTGCTGTTGCATCCGTTTTGGCATTTGCCCCTTTCATTGTTTCCCAATTTTAGCAGGCGAGGATGGCTGTGCCGGTAGCACCTGCCCAATAAGAGCGGTCCCGCGTTACGAGCAGGAGCCAGCGGTTTCAAAGAGACACAGCAGCCTGTTTCGCCCAGTCCGGGCACAAGTTGGTGCCTGAGGCAGGAAGTGCACTAGTGCTGACGTGAGTGTACCTGTACATATCTTATAGTGTTTTTGGTGTGTCGATCCATGTACCACTACTTAATTTAATTGCAGTGCACGGTCGGTACGGTCCAACCCGTATTATTCAATACTGGCTACGAGAGGCTAAGGAGGGCAGCGACGGTGGCAGTCTTTCCGTCTGTAGTCAGAATTCAGTCAAGTTCATGTTTGCGCAACGGACGCTGTTGAAACAAGTCATAGATTATGGAATCAACGTTTCCTCGACGCTGATAGATATAAAACGAACAAAAGAAAGCAAAGGAAATAGCTGCAAACTATATGGCACGCAGACGCAAGGAATATCCAAACGAGAAGCGGACAGAAAGATAAGAAACAAATGAAACCAAAACGGAAATCAGAAGAAAACGAAAGGATATCAAAAATCAATCTACGATTTCTCTCCTCCCTTCTCCTCTCTTCTTTCAGAGTACACCGCCCCTACTCATCGTCCACGTAGGCAAACTCCTCGTACGGGTTCCACTCCTGGCCCGGGTAGCTCGTGGCGGACATGGCGGGCTCTTCCTGCTCTTTTTGCTTTTGGGCTTCCAGCTCCTCGTCGGCCTCGGGCACAAACACGGGGATCTTCTCCTCCAGGTCCTTGAGCATCTGGCGGCGCTTGTAGTCTTCAAACTGCTGCGCCGAGGTCTGGCGGATCGTCTTTTGGCGCGACACGGCGTCGCCCTCTTCGCCAGAGCCGCCGCCGTTGCCGTCCGATGCACCGCCGGCCGACCCGTTGGCGCCGGCCGACCGGCCGAAACCGCCGGTGGCAGACGGCTTGGCCGAGGGGAAGCCGTACTCGGTAAAGTCCATGTCGTCAACGGGCGAGGGCGGTGTAATGTTGTTGACGTCGGGCTCGCCGGACGCGGCGGGGCCAATGGGGGAGGTGATGTCGGCGGCCGCGCGAGAGGCTGTGGCCGGGATCACAACGGCAGGTGAGGTGGGAGCGGGCGAAGTGGTGGCAGTCGTAGCAGTCGTAGCAGTCGTAGCAGGAGCAGCAGGAGCAGCAGCAATGATAGGCTCTGCCGTCTTGGCCGCTGGAACAGCAGGCACAGCATCCGAGGGGGCTGCCGACTCAACAACTAAGGGAGTCGCAACAGGCGCCGCAAGCGCCGCCGCACGCTCCGCCGCACGGCCAACAGGCGAGGCTGGCGGGTCGTCGAGGATGGTCTGGTCTTCCGACACCTTGTTGGTCTTGTTGGCGTGCGTGTGGGCGCTGGGGTGCAGCGGCGTGGCGTTGTAAATGTCCTCGTCCTCGACCGGCACGTGCTGGTTTGCTGCGGCCGTGGCAATGGGCGACAGCTGGGCGGCCTTGGCGGCGGCGAGGGCACCGTTGGTGAGGGGCGTGTCCTTGGCCGCGGGTTGGATCTCAGTCTGGGCCGGGGGCTGGGCCGAGGGCTGGGCCAGAACCGGCGCAGCATAGACGGGCTCTGCCAGTTGGACAAAGACTTGGCTCTGCGGCTGAAGTGCAGGCGGCTCGACTTTTGTCTGGACGGGGCTCCTGGGCTGCTCAGAACTGTGCACGGCTGGGCCCTGCACGACCAGGGGCGCGGGCGCAACGACGGCGTTCGTGGCCGCCGGCGTGGTCGCCGAGGGCGTCGGGGCGGTCTCGCTGGGCGCCTGGCTGGTCTCCTGGCTGGGGAGGGCCTGGCTGGCGGACGCCGAGGCACCCTCGCTCAGCTGGGACGGGTCGGGCTGCGGCGACGGGTGGAGCGACGAGACGGGCGTTTCCGCCTTGACAGGGAGAGCGGCGGCAGCGACGCTTGCAGCGGCAGCGGTGGTGGCGGCGGCAGATACAGGGATGTTACGGCCAGCCACGTCGCCCGTTTTGGAGACCGGCGGCGGCGAGGGCTGCAGGGGCGCGGGCACGGCATCGGCGACAATCTCCTCGTCAGCAGAGAAGCTCGACGTGGCAGGCGGCGGGGGCGGGACCATGAACGCGACGGGGTGCTGCTGCAGAGGGTGTGCGGGCGCTGTCGCAGCTTGACCGGCAGTGGTGGTCGCTGGAGGCGCAGGCCCAGGGCCGGCCGTGCTCCGGGAGGCAGCCTGGTCAGCCTGGGTCTGCTGCGGCGACTGCTGCGGCGCCTGATGCGGGCCGCCGTGGACCGCGTTGGCCTGGACCGCGTTGACCTGGACGGCCTGCTGACCAGGCTGTTGCTGAACTTGGAACTGGGGTTGGCCTTGCCCTTGAGGCTGCGTACCGGCCGAGTTCCACACCTGCTGTGGTTGCTGTGGTTGTTGTGGCTGCTGTGTCTGTTGCTGCTGGAACTGTGGGTTCTGCTGAGGCGGGAACTGCTGGTGCTGGAACTGCTGGTTCTGCTGGGGCGGGAACTGGCCATATGGCTGCTGGAGTTGCGGCTGCTGCGTCTGTTGCGGCTGCGGCTGCGGCTGCGGCTGGCGGCCCAGATTGTACTGCGAGGGAGCGACGGAGCCCTCGCCGTGGACAGCGGCATAGCCGTGCGGGATCGGCACAGCACCGTAATGGCGCTCCTGGTGCGGCTGATACTGCTGCTGTTGTTGCTGCTGTTGGTGCTGCTGCATCTGGTGCAGTTGCTGTTGCTGGTGGTGCGGCAGGCCGTGGAAGTGGTGGTGTTGCTGTTGTTGCTGCTGCTGCAGTTGCTGAGGAGGGCGCTGCTGCTGACCTTGCCCTTGACGCTGGCCGTGAACCTGCTGCTGAGCCTGCTGTTGGGGCTGCCGCTGGGGTTGCTGCTGCTGCTGAAGCACCTTGGGCCGGAACAGCGAGCCAAACGTGCTGTGCTGATGCGGCTTCTGCTGGGACGGAGGCTGGCCTTGGGGACCCTGCAGTTGCTGCTGCTGCTGCTGTTGATGCTGTTGATGCTGTAGAGGCAGCTGGTTTGGTGCCACGGTACTTTGCGGAACCTGCGGCAGGGGAGGGAGGTTCTGCTGCTGGCGCACTTCGGTGGGCGAGATCTGCTGCTGCAGGGCCTGCTTGCGAGCACCGACGGGCGAGTCCACCGACGGCACGCTGTTGGGCTGGACGGGGCCGGGGAACTGGGCGAGCCGCTGGTCCTGGTACATGCGGTGGGGGCCTGGCAGGACGCCGCCCGTCTGTTGACCTGTCGGCTGGCCTGTCGGCTGGCCTGTCGGCTGGCCTGTCGGCTGGGGGGTGACGGGCGCCGGAGCCGTGGCCGTGCCGTTGGACACGGGGCCCGCAACCTGGACGCCCGGCCCGGACGGAGACGGCTGGCCCTGCACCTGCGGCACGAACTGGTTCGACCCGGGCCGCTCCAGCTGCATGCTCGGGCGCACAGGACCGCCCGGCGGCGCATGGCCGGGCGGGTACTGCGGGCCACCGGGCGGCGGGCCGTTGGGATCGTTGGCGGTGTTGTCGCTGTCATGGCTGTGGATGGCATGGCCGTGGCCGCTGGCCCCGTTGGCCCCGTTGGCTCCGCTGTTCTTGCCGCCAGCCACGCCGCCCACGACACCGCCGACACCTCGGCGGAAGCGGCCAAAGAACTTCTTGGCGCGTTCCATTTCCTTTTCGGTGCGCGAGACCTGGCCAGGCGCACTCGACTGGTGGGCAGCCGGGATCTGTTCGTGGCTGGCCGCAAAGGAGACGGTCTGCTGGCCATGCTGGCCATTGTTGGTCTGGGCCGGCTGCAGCTGCTGCCCGTCTTCGCCAGGACGCTGGAACGGACCGCCGGTCACAGGCGGCTGCGAGGGCGCGACGGTGGCGCCGGACGAGCTGACGGGAGGCTGCATGCTGACCATGGAGACAGTGGGCGAGCCGCTGCGCGCGGTCGAAGCGGGCGCAATGTCGGTCAGGGGCCTGCCACCAGCCTGGGTCGAGGTGCCAGACTGGCCGCCATTGATTGTGAGCACAGAGACGGTCGACACAGGACGCTCGCCAAGGCCCGGCGGGCGACGGAGCGCCGCCTGTGTGGGCGTCGCAGCGCCATCTTGCGCCGTGGCATCACCTGCGGGAGGGGCTGGAGGCTGGGCTGGAGGCTGGGATGCTTGCTGCAGGGGCGACGGCGCTGCATTGACAGGCTTGCGCGACAGCGGGCTGGGCGCGTTCGGTACCGACGTAGACGGGAGGCGGCCGCGGGCCGTCGGGACAGGACCGGCAAAGCCGGGTGCGCCAGCGTCGATGCTGGCGCGGCCGGTAGGCACACCAGAGGCACCGGCCGGTCCGGGAGGACCGGAAGGACCAGAAAAGGGCGACTGTGCGCTGGTCTCGCGGGTCAGCGGCGTGCCGACATTGTTGCTGCCACCGGAGACGGGCGACGCGACGTTGCTGCGCACAGTCGAAGCCGATGCAGGGCCGGTGCCTGTCGCGCCGCCGGACACGGGTCCGGCCGTGGCCGGGCTCTGCGTCTGGTTGGGGTCGCCGGGGCCTGCTGCAGGCAGACGGTTCGTGTTGATGGAGAGCGGCGACGGCGAGGAAGCCGGGACGGCGCTAGGAGCGCCAGACGGTCCAGAGGATGGCTGCTGCTGGGGACCGCTGTTGGGAGCCTGCGGGGCCTGCGGCGACTGGTGCTGCTGCAGTTGCGGCTGCGACGGCGGATGCGGCTGCGACGGCGTGGCTCCGAGCGACGGTGCGTTGGATGCGGCGCGAGGGCGGCCAAAGGGACCGTTCGCAGCGCCGCCGACGGGCGTCGACGGGCCACTCAACGACGGCCGCGGCGGCTGCTGGAAGGGCGGCTGCTGCTGCAGAGGCGACGGCGTGCCGTGCGGGCTGCCCGGCAAAGTGCTAAAGGTCGAGGCATGCGAGAGGCCACCGCCGACACCGCCGACACCGCCGATACGGCTGCCAACGCTGCCTTGTGGGTATTGCTGCTGCTGCTGCACCGGCACCGAGCCGGCGGACGTGCCCGGCCTGTTCTCCTTGTCCTCCTTGTCCTTCTTGTCCTTGTTGCCACGCACTTTGCCCATGAAGCCCGACAGCAGACCGGACGTGCGGCGATTGGCGTTGCTCTCGTTGGGCACAATGCTGCCAAAGGTGTTGGTGCGGCTGAAGAAGTTGTCCGGGGTCGGTGGTGTGCCCTGCGTCGCGTACTTGGTCAGCGGCGGGCCCTGCTGTTGCTGTTGAGGCTGGAAGTTGGGCTGCTGCTGAGGCTGTTGCGGCTCCTGTGGGAGCTGGCCTTGTTGAAACTGGCCCTGCTGGAATTGCTGCGGTTGGAACTGGGGCTGGAACTGGGGCTGGAACTGGCCCTGGCCCTGACCCTGACCCTGAACCTGACCCTGAACCTGGTTCTGGACAGGCTGGAACCGGTTCGGCTGGAATTGCTGCTGGAATTGCTGCGGCGGGCCCTGGTACTGTCCCGGGCGGAACTGCTGCTGCTGCTGTGGGGGAAGACTGCCGTGCGGTGCACCCGGCGGGCCAAAGGACTGCACGGGTCTCGGCGGCTGGAAGCCGTTGGGCTGGACCACCTGGCCATTCGGCGCAGATGTGGCGACCGGGCCGGGACCAGGCTGCGTCGGTCCTTGTGCCGGTCCCTGTGCCGGTCCCTGTGCCGGTCCCTGTGACTGTGTCTGTGTCTTTTGGGCCGCAGCGTCCTGCGGGCCCACCGACGGAGACGTCTGCTGTTGCGGCTGCACGGGGCTCGTCGTTGTGGCCGGGGCGACAGAGTGCGCCGGCGACTGAGTTGCCGTCTGCTGCAGCGGCGAGGTTGTGGTCGTGGTCGTGCTGGGCACAGGCGACGACACGGACGCACGCGGGCCCTGCTCCGGGGCCGGGCTTTGTACATCGGTCGCGGCCGGGGCCGGAACCGGAGCCGAAGCATGGGCCGGAGCGGAGACGGCATCGGCGACGGGCCCGGAAGCCGGGGCTGCGGTCGTGGCCGATACAGGAACGGGACTTTGCGCCGACGGGACGGGGCTGACAACACGCTGCTGAACTGGGCTCTGCGTGATGCTGCCGGCCTGCTGCTGCGACGGCGGCGGCGACGACGCCGGGGTCGCCACAATGGAGCTGGACGGGACGGGCGTCTGCGACGGCGTAGGGGCCTGTGCCTGCTGCTGCTGCGGCGGCGGCTGTTGGAAGCCTTGCTGGGCAGTGGGGAAGTTCTGCGGCGTGCCATGGCGGCTCTGGGGCGAGACTTGGTACGAGGCAATGGAGCTGGCCGGACCCGGTTGGCCTTGTTGGCCTGGTTGGCCTGGTTGTCCTGGTTGTCCTGGTTGTCCTGGTTGTCCTTGGGGCACTTGGCCCTGGGCTCCCGGAGGACCTTGTTGGAACTGAGGCTGGAAGCTTTGCTGAGGCTGCTGCTGCTGTTGCAGCTGCTGGAACGGGGGCTGCCCAGGCTGGCCCGGCTGGCCCGGCTGGCCCTGCTGGCTGGACTGCTGGTACTGGTAAATGGTCGACAGCGGACGGCCTTGACCTTGGAACGGCAGCGGCTGTTGTTGCGGCTGCTGCGGCTGCTGCTGTTGACCCTTGCTGCCCTTGCCAAACGGCAGCAGGTTACGGATCTTCTTGCCCGTGTGTTGTTGTTGCTGCTGCTGCTGGGGTTGCGCCTGTGGTTGTGTCTGTTGTTGAGGCGGCGGCTGCTGTTGCTGGAACTGCTGCTGGAACTGTTGCTGCTGCTGCGGGATCCGCTGGCCTTGTCCCTGAACCTGTCCCTGAACCTGTCCCTGAACCTGTCCCTGAACCTGTCCCTGTCCCTGCTGAACATTCTGGAATTGCTGCTGCGGGAAGCGCTGTTGTTGCAACAGCTGCTGGTGCTGCTGCGGAGGCACGTTCTGGTAGATCTGGCTCTGGCCCTGGTTCTGGCCCTGGATCTGGTTCATGAATTGCGGATTGAACTGCAACTGGCCCGGCCGGGGCTGCTGTTGGAGCTGTTGAGGCTGGAACTGCGGCTGTCCTTGTTGTACTGGCCGACCTTGCTGGGGCAGTTGCTGGGGTACCGGCTGCTGCTGCTGCTGCTGCAACAGCTGCGGCTGCGACGGCGATGGAGAAAGGGCGCCGGCACTGCTGCCTGGCGGCACTGGCGCCTGCTCTTGTGCCTGTGGCGGCTGACCCTGCGCATTCTTGTTGGAGTGCGACGACGAGGGCGGTGTCGAGGACATGCGCCACGTCGAGATCTTGGAGAAGCGGCGGCCCTTGTCATCGGCCGCTGCTGCTGCTGCACCAGCCGGTTGCGGGCGGGCTTGGACGGCGTTGTTTTGCTGTTGGCCCTGCCCCTGACCTTGCGTCCAGACTGGACCAACGGGCGCGACAGGCGACTGCACGGTTGGCTGCTGCTGGAACTGCTGCTGTGCCTGTTGCTGGTCCGGGGACAGCGGTTGCTGTTGAGGCCGTTGAGGCTGTTGCGCCTGCTGGGCCTGTGCTTGCACCTGAGCCAGAACCGGTGGCGGCGCCTGGAGGGCCGATCCCGATGACGAGGCACCCCACGTATCGGTCCCCATCGTGCCCATCGTGCCCATCGTGCCCTGGCGCGTCAGCTGCGCCTCGGCCGAGTTGAGCCCCGTCTCCTTGTCAAACGAGTACGACTGGCCGTCCGGCGTGGAGTCGGCCGTGGGCGACGAGCGGTGGCGCGTGGACGCCAAGGGTTCCTGGAGGTGGGACTCTTGGAGGTTCCAGTTGCCGGCCTTGGGGAGGAAGCGCTGGAGCGGGTTGCTGCTCTTTTGGCCCTGGGCCGGGGGCTGCTGTTGTTGCTGTTGCTGCGCCTGCTGCGAGGGCAGTTGGTTGTACGCGGGGGCCGTGGGCGCATTCGTGTGCACTGCGAAGCCCTGCTGGACAGGTTGCTGCTGGGCAGGTTGCTGCTGAGGCTGGAAGGTCTGCTGTGTCGTCGGCGGGTGGCTCTGGAGGTTTTGCACGCCGCCCTGTGGCTGCTGCTGTTGCGGTTGTTGCGGCTGTTGCGCCTGCTGTGGGAAACCCCACGAAGCTGTCCGCTGTTGCTGCGCAGGGCCAGGACCAGGATGGCCGGGTTGCCCAGCCTGTCCAGGCTGCTGCTGGATAAAGTTCAGAGGGGTGCCAAAGCGCCGAGGTTGTTGTTGCTGTTGTTGCTGTTGTTGGAGCTGTTGGGGTTGCTGCTGCAGCTGCGTGGGGAAGAAGCCTATGAAAAAGAGTCAAGTGTTAGCAAAGGCCAAGTGTCGGGGGTCTATCATGTCGAGATCGCCACTCACCTTGCTGGCCCTGCGGCTGTTGTTGCAGCTGCACCTGTTGAGGCGCCTGCTGAAGGGCCTGCTGAGGAGCCTGCTGAGGAGCCCGCTGCTGACCATCCGTCGACGCCGGCTCGTCTGTCGACTTGCCCTTGTCGTCGGTGCCAATCAGCGAGGCCAAGTCAAAGTCCAGCGTCGACGTGCGGCGGACGGGCGGCAGGCCGGTAAAGGACGACTGCCGTTCCAATGGCAGGGGCGGCAGCGGTTGTTCTTGTTGTCCTTGTTGTGCCTGTTGGCCTTGCTGTCCGTGTTGTCCCTGCTGTGGTTGCTGGAACGGCTGCTGGAATTGAGGCTGTTGCAGCAGCTGCTGCTGCTGCTGTTGAAACTGTTGAAACTGCTGCTGCGACATGGGCACATATTGAAACTGCTGGCCGTTGGGCCCCTGGACCGGCTGCTGCTGGTAGATGATGTTGTTCTGGACCGGAACAAAGGTGCCGTCGGGCAGGCGGGTGTACTGCTGCTGCTGCTGCTGCTGCGGCTGGGGTGGTTGCTGTTGCTGGAAGACTTGGCCATAGAACTGCTGCTGCTGCGGCTGTTGGCCATTGTTCTGCTGCGCGACCGGAGTACTGGGCCCTTGGCCAGGGCCAGGACCAGGACCAGGACCAGGACCAGGACCAGGAGCAGTACCAGCAGCAGCTGCACCGGCGGCCGGAGCACCGGCGCCGCCGACTATGCTTTGCTGGCGCGGTCGAGAGAACATGGTGGAGGCGCGTTGAGGTGGAGAGTCGAGCCAAACAAGGCGACCGTCAACAGGACAGCGCGAGCTCCTAGTATATTAAAGGTGGGCGAAGAAGAGATGCGCCGCCGTCGATGAGGCGCGAATTAACGAGAGCAACGCGCGTGCAAAACAAGGAGAGGGAAAAAGGAAAGAAAAGACAAGGACGAAAAAGAGAGGAAGAAAAAGAAAGTTGAGGGAAACGAGATAAACGAGATAAAAGAGTAGGAGCAGATGGACAGAGAATGGGAGAATCGCAGAATTGCGACAGGGACAAAAGAAGGAGGGGAAAGCCTCGGGTGGCTTGGCTGCTTGCCTGCGTTGTCTTGCGAGTCTTGATTGTCTTGCTTTTGGGGCTGAATGTCAGTCGGTCGCGAGAAAAGAGGAGCCAGGTACAAATGGGAGCAAATGGGAAAGGGGAAAAGAACACTGACAACAGGCTGTTTGATTCTCGCCTGCTTGGTGCGACCACAATCTCTTCTGTTGACACTTGCAGGGAGGGGGAGAGAAGGGAACAAAAGGAAGAAGGAAAAGTAGGAGACAAAAGGATGCTTGGTTCGTGATGGTGTGAGACGAAGGAAACAAATCTCGAGGCCCTGGCTTGTTTTGTTTCTTTTCGTCTTCTGCCCCCTATTTTTTTCCTCTATGTTTCTCTCTCTCTTCAGCTCGTTCGTGCTGACGACACGTTGGCATCTGGGAAATACGGACGAAGGATGCAGGAGACCCCAAGCACGGCCAGCCCAGACGAAGCTGGGTGTGTGCGTTGCCTGCGAGAAACAACACAAAACAAAAAGAGGGTACCGTTGCTCGAACGTGATGGAGAGTGGTTGGGGGGAGAGACACAGCAGGTCGGCGAAAGCAGCGAACGTCACAACAAATCAGGGGACAGGACAGAGACAGAAAGACAGGGAAGGTGCCCTGGAAGCCTGTCCTCCTGTGTATCCTGCCAGGGGGAGTGGGTTGAGGCCCCGCAAAAAGTCAAGAGGTCAGCACCAGAGAGTGAAATGGAGCCGCAAGAAGGCACCGGGGCCTCTCCAAACGATGGGCAGGAATAGGAAGGAGGCTGGGAAGCATGGAAGACAGGCGGAAAGGAGCTTGCAACGGGTGCCATACGATGTAAGTACACAGCATCGAGCCACTCGACGGGTTGTGCCTGTCCAGCCTGGAGCTTCTGGAGCTCGGAAACGAGCCCTACGGCAGGCGCTAGCCCGTCCAACAGTCCGTCCGCTGGAGAACGAAGCGGCCCTGTCTCCCTGTCCCTCGTCCCATTCACCCAGCCATAGCCCTGTCAGACATGGGTGGACGTCTGGTGGGGAGTGCTGGTGAAATGAGAGTGTGGGTCGTGACAACGCCAGGCCGTGTGCTGGCGTGCTGCAACTCTGGCGTGTTGTGCTAAGCCGTGGCGGTGGTCTGCAGCGGCGTCGTTTCTTGCTAGGCTGGGCAGAGATCGACAAATGTCGCCGGACGAGTACTTAGCATGCACGCCTCGCCTTGGATTTTGAGATGAAGGGGTTTGGACGGGTCCATTTCTTGGCTGGGGATATCTTGGCCGGGGTCACACGCTGTTGGGAGAGAAGTGTGTCGTACTTCGTACATGATGACTGTCATAATTAGGCCGTACTCCGTCCTCGCAGTGCACTTCGGGCATGGTAATCACTGTCTCGACACGCATCCACACCGTATTGCCCGTATCGAGTGCGACGTCCAAGTTGGAACAGGAGGAGGTGAAGAAACCGGGCATGCTAGTGGAAGAAGGCGTATTCTGTAATAAGCTCAAGGTTGGACTCGATGCACGTCGGCAGGTCGGGTCCATCATTCGCACCGAGTCGACATGCAGACGTCTCGGACTCGAAGACGAGCCAGACAAACGACAGGAGTCCAAGTGAAGGCCGTCGAGGATGCGGCAGCAATGGCGAAACAAATGGAAACAAACGCCAGAAACCCAACAGACGACCTGAGACTGGAGACCCTCAGACCCTGCAACCGTGACCCTGTACCTTAACCTGCAGGCCATCGTGGCTGACGTCCCGTGGCCGTCCCGGAAGAGGATCGAGGGAGGCTGTGCATGCTCGGAATAGCAGTATGCGCACGCTAACATGTGCGTTGAGCAGGGAGCAGACAGCGCGACAGCGTTGTATTTCCACTGCTGTCAACTCTGTCCACTATATTTTGCCGGCGCCGACCGCCTGTCAGGCCAAGCGTATAGGGTGGAGCCCAGCGCTGAGCCGCATCTCCATAGGCATAAATTCATATAGTCTAGTGGGGCATCTCTTCAGGGCTGACCAACCGAATAGACGAGCACTTTCAATGACCACTGTCAACGAAGTATTGTCCAATGCAGCCACTGCCCCAGACATGAGAAGGAGAAATGCACGATGCAACATGCAACATGCACGACACGAACAAAGAACCGAATGCAAAAATAGAAACGACTTGCCGCATGCCGACGACCAAGCGCGAAGGCTCGAATCTGCGCAGGATCCCAGAGCCGCAAAACGCAAAACGCAAAACGCAAAACGCAAAACGCAAAACGCAAAACTGCAGAGCCAGTTGTCACGTAGCCGACTGACGATCGAGGAAAGGCGAGCATCACACGTGCAAGCGCGCGGGCGCCACGATCGAAAGGGCCTCTTCCCTCTTTTCTACGAACGAGTGCATCCAGCATCTCACGCCGTCCGCGCTGACGTGCATTGCATTTCAGCCCGCTCCTTCGACTGCACTGGCCATCCATGGCCTGGCCTGTCCTTACCTGTCCTGATTTGCCTTCTTTGCCTTCTTCCCCCGTCGATCGTCGCCGTCCCATCTCGCCGCGCCTCCAGCCTGGCGGGATTCATTTGGAACGAGACAACGTGCCAGGGTTCACACGCGCAGATCGGCTATCAAAGTGTGCCTTGCCAATTGACCCAGTCCGGCAGCTCGTACGGCATTGTATTGAATAGGGTGGAGAGAGACGTGATGCCGGCTGCCCCGGCAGAACTGGTGAACAAACCGTACCTTTTTCTCGCAGCCAACAACCTCAGCATCGGGTGGGCGGTTGCAGACGAAGCTTTAATATCAAGGTTTCCGCGTTGGAAAACACACAGAGTGTACAAGAACGCACACGCGAGTGAAACGACTCGGAAACAAAAACTCTTGTGTGTCGCTCGGTCACCAACACAAATCAATCTCTAGAAGTTCACAAGTAGATTATGGTGCTCATGACGCTGCTCTTGACAGCTTGGGAGTTGAAAGAACAAAAAGAAAGAGAGACAAGAGAGCTAGTTAAGGTGTAACAAGAGAAGAGCAGAAAAGTAGCAAAATAAGAGAACCAGATAACATAACTGTAAAGACGATGACAAAATCATACCGTCTTGTTTTGCTTCTTTTTCTATATGTATCTTTTTTAACAAAAATTATTTAAATAATTGAAAATTTTAAGCTCTTCTCCTGTTTTTTATTTATTTTATTTTTATCGGCTCGCTTCTTTCTTGTTCCTGGCCTTCTTTTTATATAACGTTAATGTTTGAGATTTTGCGTGATTCTTTAGTCAAAGAATACAAAATAAATAAATAATTATAGGAAAAAAAACCATCAGAATGACACCCATCGAACAAACCGACAAAGCCCGCGTACGTCGTTTTCTTGGATACACATAATCTGTAAATGTAGTCCTCGTGTGAAACGACCATGAGACCACGCCATTATCATCGTCTGTTACACGCCAACCGCCGCTGCGCCGTCAAGAACGCACCATGCATTTCTGGTGCAATGCCGCAAGCGGCACGTACGAGGTACGGGTGTCTGCCGAGCGGCTTCCGCGTCATGATTAATGATGATAGTCGTCGTGCATCACCGTCGGCGCATTGTATTGTGAGCTCGGTAGAGGTCCCATCATGACCGAGGCAGCGAACGACGGGCAACATCCACGAGCGGTTGTTCGACGTACGGCTGTCAGGGAAGGGCACGGCCCTCGAAAGGCGCGAGAGTGGCAGGCAAAGCGAGGCACTGCTGTGGAGTGCGCTGGAGTCCACTGGAGCACTTCAGAAGGTTGCCGAGCTCCCCAGGAAAGGCCCCGAAAGCCACACTTGGACCACGTAGAAACGGCCGCAGGAGGCAAAAGTGCGCAAACCAACAGGCCGTCGACCGACGAGGGAAATCCTGGGGAGTGGCACTAGCTCGGCTTAAAGTCTTTGGGGAGCGTCTTTGAGGAAGAGCTAACCCTCTCCCCCTATTACGGGGTGAGTCTGTCGACTACGAGGGAAACGGCGTCTAACTTGGTCGGTTTATACGACGGTCCACCGCGACCGGAAAGTGAGCCAACATAAGCCAACAAAGCGCCGCCTCCAAAAAGAGGGCCAAAACTTGCCAAAACCGGCCAAAAACTGACCAAAATCGACCATGAGGACAACTACACTGTACTTGTGAGTACGACAAGAAAAAACCACAGAAATGGCCACAGAAAATAGGAGAAACCGAGGGAAAAGGCGAAGGATATGGAGGACCAGGAAATAACAAAGAGAGACGTTGGCCCCAACAACTCAACAGGCTCGGGCGAGCGGGCAATCCATCTCTCTCCACGTAGATGCAGCAGAGAAAAGACAAGACAAAAGGCACACGACAATTGAACAAGACAGCGCCGTCCGCCATTCACGCTCAAGCCGCTGTTCGCCGAGGCCGAATTGCTGCCCCCAAATCGCCCAGTCGCTCAATCGCTGCTTCCTTCCCCGGCTGCCGGCGGCGCAAGCTAGTGCACACGCGACCAACAGCCGGAACAAAGGCAGAAAGAACAGAATCGATCAGGCGAGGAAGGCACGAGCGACTCGCCATTTCATACGTTGGCTAGCAACGGGTCTGGACAATCATTTTGGGTTTTGGTCTTTTGGTCTTCTGCAGGCAATTTTGGGTTGAACGCGACAGCAGACGAGCGTCGCACCCTCTTGGCAACCATCAACACCGCCGAGTCCGCTTCAGCCCGGACAGCACTGCACTGCAGAGAGCACTGCAGAGAGCACTGGGCCCCCGGCGATCGACCACAACCTCCGACCGCTGACCGACGACAATCCGACGCCGGTTTTCCTCTCCGACTCCTCTCCTTTCCCTCCCATCTTGCCCCCGTCCGTCCCTTGCCGCACACAATGGCCGACCGGGCTTTCGATCTGGCGGCCGCCGCGGCCGAGCTGCAAGCTGACCCGGCTGCCCGTGCGCGGAAAAGTCCCGCCGAGGAAGACGGCGACGACGGCGGCGGCGTGTCCCTGGCACGGCAGCTTCAGACGCCATCCCCGTCTCCGCTGTCGACGCCCCGGCCACAGCAGGCATCACACACCACATCCGCTCCAGCACCCCCGCCAAGCACAGCGACACACACCGACGAGGTCGTCCCGCCGCGGCCGCGCACCTCCACATCCACCGCCGAGATCGACAGCACCATTGCGCGGCCCGGTCCCGTGCGCATCAATGTCAAGGGCGCCTTTATTGTCGACGAGGAGCCGGCGAACGGCAATGGCAATGGCAATGGCAGCGCCAACGGAAGCCGGTCGCCGACGGGGTCCGTCCGCGGCGCCGACAAGCGGTCACAACGGACGGCGTCGGGCTCAAGCAGCGACTCCGCCCACGGCCCGGCCTCCGCCCCCGGCCGTGCCCACTCGCCCTCCGAACACCACTCGACGTTCGACATCCGCCTGCCCAACCACCACGCCGTCGTCTCCCACATTGCCGTCGACATTGGCGGCACCCTGGCCAAGGTCGTCTTCTTTTCGCGCGAGGCCCAGTCGACCGAGCCCGGCGGCCGCCTCAACTTTACGTCCTTTGAGACGGACAAGATTGACGACTGCATTGACTTTTTGCTCGATCTCAAGCAGCGCCACATGGACCCCGAAAACGGCGCCCGCTCCAGCGAGCTGTGCGTCATGGCCACCGGCGGCGGCGCCTACAAGTACTACGACCGCATCCGCGCGCGCATGGGCATTGACGTTCTGAGCGAAGACGAGATGGAGTGTCTGATTATGGGTGCGTCTGCCCCCGTCCCCCCGCCCCCCCCCCTGTCCCTGTCCTCCTTTCTACCCCAGCGTCCGCTAACGGACCAATGCAGGCCTCGACTTTTTTATTACCGAGATCCCCCGCGAGGTCTTCACCTACTCCGAGACCGACCCCATGCACTTTGCCGCGCCCAGCGACGACATCTACCCCTACATGCTCGTCAACATTGGCTCTGGCGTCTCCATGCTCAAGGTCTCGGGCCCCCACAAGTACGTGCGCGTCGGCGGCACCTCGCTCGGCGGCGGCACCCTGTGGGGCCTGCTGTCCCTGCTGACGGGCGCCCGCTCCTTTGACGAGATGCTCGAGCTGGCCTCGCGCGGCGACAACTCGCGCGTCGACATGCTGGTCGGCGACATTTACGGCACCGACTACGGCAAGATCGGTCTCAAGTCGACCGCCATTGCCAGCTCCTTTGGCAAGGTGTTTCGCATGAAGCACCTCGCCGAGACCGAGGCCGAAGACGGCGTGCCGTCGCCGACGACCACAAAGGACGACAGTGACAAAAGTGCTACCAACAACAGCACAACGGCCGACGGCCCCGACGGCCCCGACGGCCCCGACAACATGTACCGCGGCGCCGCCTACAACACCCACTTCTCGGCCGCCGACATCAGCCGCTCCCTCCTCTACGCCATCTCCAACAACATTGGCCAGATCGCCTACCTGCAGTCCCAGATCCACGCCCTCGACCGCATCTACTTTGGCGGCTCCTTCATCCAGGGCCACCCCCAGACCATGAACACCCTGAGCTACGCCATCAAGTTTTGGAGCAAGGGCACCAAGCAGGCCTACTTTCTGCGCCACGAGGGCTACCTCGGCGCCGTCGGCGCCTTCCTCAAGCGCCAGCCGCGCAACTGGGGCCGCCGCGGCAGTTTCGAGGGCGGCCTGGAGATGCGCATGACCGAGCGCCTGCGGGAGGAGCAGCAGCGCGCGGGCCCTCTTGCCGACGAGTGACGGAATGGATGCGAATGAAATGGCGGCGTTGAAACGGACAAGAAAGAAGAAGAAAGGAAAAAAAAAAAAAAAAACGACTTCGGATCATAAAGACGTCAACGACCATTGCACATCATGTACAGGGCATCTACAAGCACTGCCAACCGGAACACAGCGTACATAAAAGTATATAAGCATTCATATATTTTCATATATTACAAAACTAATAAAGATACCTAAGGCTATGCACCCGGCAAAGACTACACAGACGAGAGACAAGGTCAAACATAAAACGTATAGAAATGAAACGATATAACATTTTAAAGCCTCACATAAGGTCAAAACGATTAGGACAAAACGGGCACAAGACACACAGCAAGCTTGTAGTCTTAAGAGTCAACGTCAAGTCCGTGTAAAGTGGATAGGTCATAATAAATTGCAAAAACTGTAACTCTCTCTTTCTCTCTTTTTTTCTTCTTTTTTCGCTTGTGTATAACATTTTCGTCCCGAAACTTCGGTTTACAGAAGCACTCTGGTTAGTTTTGAAGGGGAAATAGGAAACCGCAATTGTTTCCCAGTCGCGCCGAAGGTATCAAGGAAGGAAATAATAGAAAAAGAGAAAGAAAAAGAAAAGACGCAGCTAGTGTGAGAACATGGCCGGTCCACGGCCGAATGACCATCGGACCAGCGTTTCCAACCCAACGAAACCAAGTACAATACGGAGCAAAGAACAGGAACAAAGAGAAAAAACGGAACGGAACGCGACGACAAAAGAAATTGTATAACAAAGATTGAGGAAAAAGACGAAAGTAAATACAGAGCAGCGGGGGGAATCAAAGGCTCGTGTGTAGAGAAGTCGTGTGCGCACAGCACAGGCATGAAAAGAAATAAGATGGTGGAGAGACCCGTCCAGAAAGGACAAGAGACCCCCCTTTTCGAGTGAGTCTGAATCCGCTCCCTCATACGCGTGCTTTGAGAGTAAGAAAAGAAAGAAGACACAAAGAAATAAGAACGAGTGAAGGTCAGCCACAAGACAATGCGCGCCCCGCGCCGCCATGATGAGAGTAGAACGTCATCCCAAACAACCAAACTCGCCGGCAGCCGAGGTTGCGTTTTTTTCGTCAGCATCATCTCAGGCCACGACATCCAGTCGTCGCCTGCTGCTTTATCGGCGCAGGGACGTCCGGGTGTTGCGGCCGCCCTGCTTGAGGCGGCTGGTCCGCCAGCCCTCGTACCATTGCTCGCGGCTGGCTTCGCGCAGCTCGCCACGCCACTCCGTGAAGACGGCATCCTTGAGGCGCAAAAAGTCGCAGTGGTCTGCGTTGTTCGGATCGGCGAAGCCCCAGGGGAATTGCCGGCCAACAACACCGGGCTCATAGATATCCGGGCTGATGATCGACATTGGGATGAAGGGTGGCTCGTCGTCCTCATTGGTGTCTAGGTGCTCTGTGTCGCGTTCGCGGTTGCGACGGCCAGGCGTCGACGACAGCCGCTTGGACGACTTGGGCGTCTGCGAGGGTGGTGTGTAGGACGCACGCACTTGGCCCTGGATCGGCAGGCCGGTCTCGCCGTCCGAGAACGCAGCGACGTCCATATCGCTGTTGTCGACGGGGGTGTGGACACCACCAACCTCGGCGGCGGCCGTCTCCTCGTCGCTCTCCTCTTCGATACGGTTGGAATCGATCGTGCTTGCGCCATCGTCAAGGTCGTCCAGGCCGAGCGACTCAAGAGGGTCCAGGTTCGACCGCTTAAGGCTGTCTGCGACCGACTTCTTCAGCACGCTCATGTGCTTTGTCGTGATCGTGTCGGCCTTGGAAATGACCGGGATCACCGTGGTCTTGCCCTGCAGCGTACGCAGCACCTGCAAGTCGAGGTCCTCATCCAGCGCACCCAGCACACGTGCTTGCGGGACGTACTTCACAGGGCCGCCATTCCGGTCCACGCCGTTGCCGTTCATGTTCTGCTCGTTCTTGGATGCGGCAATGTTCCGGTCCAGGCGAGCGGGGTCGAGAACCAGGAAGACGGCGTGGATGTGTGTGTCCTGGACGCCGGGGGAGCGAACAACCTTCATCTCCTCGTTGAAGGTGTCCTCAAACTTGCTCTCGAGGAAGGCAGACATTTCGCGCAGCTGCAGGTCGACAACATTCTTCTCCAGGCCTTCCGAGTCCCACAGGGTCATGCCAATGCGCTCGCCATCAATCTCCGTCTCCAGGAAGTGGGGGACGAAGTTGCCCGACGGCGGTGCGGCGGGCACAAACTCGTCGGCGTCAAAGGTCTTTACGCGCCTCTTCGCGGGCAGGGCTAGTGAGGTCTTGAGGAATTCCAGGAAGGACGTCTTGCCAGAACCCCGAGTACCCATAATTAGGATGCTGTAAAACGCTTGGTCAGTACTTGTTTTTGCCTGTTGCCCACGAGCACCATGGACGGGAGTCACCACTTACTTGAATGGCGTCGGGTCCTTCCTCCGGCGAACGCGGCGGGGGCTGTTGATCGTGCTAATGGCGCTGCTAGCATAGCTGTAGCGGCCACGGTGGGTCATGCTCTCGGTGCGGGCATAGGGATCAACCCAGGCGCCCGAGGGAACGGGCGGCATGATGGGTACGTTGGCCACGGAGCGGCTGGGCTCCATGGAGGGACGCGGTGTGTAGTTGCTGTTGTAGTAGTCGGTGGGAGCCGCATCATGAGCGGGCTCGCCAAAGGAACTGCCTAGGTTGGGAGCCGGGGCGCCATTATAAAGGACGGGAAGACGGGGCGGGGACTTGGGGATCGCAGCCTCGCGCTGACGCTGGAGCTCTTGTTCACGCAAAGCCTGGGCCTTCTTGCCCTTCAGCTCGCCAGATTTGCTTCGCCGTAGCAACATTCCGAAACTTGAACGTCGGGCAGTGGGCGAGCTCATTCTTTGGTGCTGGTAAACGGGAAAAAGGGTTCCGGATCCACGACAAAAGTGCGAAGCGCTTTTGAGGTGGATTGTTCACGTGGAACAGAGGTACGGAACGAGGAGCAATAGAAGAAACAATTTCCCTTCAGCCAAGGGCGGAGGGCTGCCTTGCCGTAAAGATCAAGGACAAAGGTTGTATCTTATCACTGGCGTCAGTTATCCCGTGTCTTTATTTGGCACAGTTGCGTGTTGGATCTAGATGATGTTGGCAGACGGGAAGCGCTAGAACAGGAAGCGCCGTTGGTAATGGGCAGCTATTGGTACCTGATGAAATGGGCGTTGGTCGCAATGACAAAGTAATTGCCAAAGTCAGGGGCCCAAATGTTTGTCTGCTGGGACGAGCGATCAAAAAATACCGCGAGTATTGGCTCCGCGTCCAGAAATTGGTCGAGGAAGCAATTCCAAAACCGGCTTTAATGGCTGTTTAAGTGATTGACGAATATGCCTGGAAAATGTGGTAGATCCTCCAGGTGGAGAGCGGGAATCTGAGGGTCGCAGACAAGTGTCAAAGCACACAGCAAGACGGCGTAAGAGTGAATGACGAGGTGCTCTAGAAAACTCTCTTTCACGATATTTAGACGTCGGAGTCCTCCTGCTTTTTATTCGAACGAGAGTGGGGATCCTTTCTTTTCAGCGGTGGGAGCTGGTAGTCGCGGTTCGCCGTCTTGGATAATCGTCTCTTGCGTGGATGGGGGATGCAACGAGCACGTTTGGTATGTGAGACTGCCGTGCTTAATTTTGTTGATAGCTTTGTCGACAGAAGCAGAGGAAAGGGGGGACCCTAAAATGCAATACCGCGTCAGTGACAATGTAACCTTCTCCAAACTGGTCGCATTCTGTAAAGGGGTCCTAGAAGAAGCTCTAGAGAATCCGGCCGATGCGATAAGAAGGGCAAAAAAAAAAAAAAAACCAGGTCGACAAAAGAAGTGAATGGCATCGCAGCAGTAGCGGGAGGAGACCGAGTGGCAACGACGCAAGGGATCGCGGCCGTGTCTGAGACAAACGACGACTACGGAAGCTGGCACGGCAAGCTAAGTGTCAAAGTTGCGGAGAGGCACCCCCAAACATCATCTTTTGCAGCCCAGTTCTCCGTTCGTTTGCTACGGTCCTTCGTGCAGCACCGTCAAGGTCGGTGCTGCCAAACGACCGATTCGCATCATCGTCTCGATGCATCCGGCGTGTTTGTTGGGAAGCGCCAGGGTCGGCCATAGTGTCCGGGTGTACAGGAGTACAAGATGCGGCGGCAGGTGACGCTCAACCAGGAAAAGGGACCTGTCGCAGAGGGAATGGCACTTTTCCCCGGCGGGGGATTCGTAGGTTCTTTGGGATGGTGTCGAGATGTGCTGTTTGAACAGATGCACGCGTGTGGGTATTCACTCACCTTTTGTTACAAACAGGTCGATCCTTCCTGGAATGCGAAGGGGGAGCCGGTGTTCTCGTATAGAGGGTGGTGCGCCTTTCACAGAAATCGCCAAAACGGCGTAGGATGGAGAAAGTTGACGATGAGAAAGTCGACACGAGGATGGCGATGCCAAAGACAGGCAAATGAGGTGGTGGATATTGTAGGAAAAAGGGGAAAAACACAAGAGCACCTCAGATGGCCCTAAAATAAAAGGGGGGCGTTGGAATAGAGGGGAGGGCAAGAGTGCGCGGAACGAAGAGGGAAAGAGCGAAGGAGAAGACGAAGACAATACTGTGGTAGTACCGCTGTTAAAATGGGAGAGGAAGGAAGAGGAGGGCAAAGAAAGGAAGGAGCGACGCGTGAGTGGAGCTGGCGCACGATATGGAGTTGGGAGCATGGGAGCACAAGCAGCTGGGGGGCAGATCAGAGGCAAAAAGACAAGAGAGGGAGCGAGACAGAGTGTGGATGGCAGAGACAAGTGCTGGAGGGTGTGGAAAAGGAGGCGTGTACGTGGTACCCCGAACGGCAAGATGCAGATGGTCCTATTTCGGATGAGGCAGGGCGGCAAGCTTGGACGCGCTTGGAATAGGGGGCGGACGAAGGAGCGAAGTACAAGAAGGGGGCCAGAGAACTGCCCGTCGTAGCTGAACCCGGGCATCTAGATGAGATCGTGTAGGCTTGGGTGCAGGCCAATGGTGATGGCACACGGGCAGGCCTGTCGGTTTCGTTTCTGGGATGGCAGGGAGCGATCAGGCGAACAGCCCAACGAACGAGTAAACCGGGAAGACGAGAGAGCAAGAGCCATGCGCCAAAGAGTAGACAGAGTAAAGGGGACGGAAGCCAGCGTAGCAGCTACGAGTGTGTTTGCACCTTTCTGAGCATACGATTACGAGGTTGATATTGAGACGCGGAGCTGTTTCCGTTCCTTTGAGATCGCGAGTGCTTTTCCCGATACAATGAAGACTCTTTGGTCGCCGCCGCGATGGCAAGACGTTTGTCAAAAGATCGTTCTGTGTATGTACATTGACGTGCGTGACCGATGCCTTTGCTCACTCGGGAACTTGCAAGAGTTCATGGCCAGGAAACTCTGACCTGTCGCGACGAGAAGCTCACCCCTCACCATTGCATCGTAATAATTACGGGCAAAAAAAAGGGGAAGGGACATCTCGAAAATAGGGGAAGCAGGAGATTGGCAGCTCTCATTGGCCAGAATTTGTGCGCTAGGCCAGTTTGGACACCTTTGTGGATGGCAGTCGCGCGTGGGGCATCCCAAAGGTTCCTTCCTCAGTGGCTTCTGTGGCCCCTGCCCTGCCAGGAACCCGCAAAAGTGGGAAGGGTAGCGCGTGTGAAGCAAAAACGGCCGGCGCTCCTGCCTTTGAAACGAGTGGAGTCGCATGGCTATGGGGAAACGCACCTGGTAATTAATTCCAGAAGGGCAAGAAGGCGAGAAGGGCACAAGGGCACCGTCCACGGGGGAAAAGAGGGGTGCTTCAGGTTCGGCGTGCTCAGCGGCCAGCGCTAGTCTGGCGTTAGTGGGCACAATGCTAATTTACGCAGGAGCGACTACGGGCTGACTTTGTTTTCACTGTTTCCAGGGACTCGTTCCAGGCACACATCCCACCACCAAAGCATCGCCATCGCCGCATCTTCAGTCAGGGGCTACAAGGCGCCCTGTTGTCTTGTCGTTTTCTCGCCCTTGCACCCCATTGTCTCTGTGCGACGCCCGTCTTTTCGTGGACTGCTCTTTTGTCTCCTGTGGTTTGCAGCGTGCCCTGAGGCTTCAGGGGCCACTTGCCGCCGAGCCGTTCCTTGCTCTCCCTTAGTCGTACGACGGTACCTTTCTCATCCTGTCGTTTTCTTTGTCTATCTTCTCGTATTCTTCCATTGTTCTTTGTTTCATGCACTTCTTCGCACCAGAAAGCTCCACACAAGGCTTGCATCTGTGCAGCAGACGCAACGCTTCTTTCTCAATAGGAGGGTGGAGGGTTGAAGAAAACAGTTTAGGATGCGCAGCAATGCTTCGAGACACGTGCGTTTCTGCCTCCTGCCTCTCCTATCCGCTGTCCAGACCAAGGTCTACGTCTACTCCGTACGGTGCTTCTGACTGTCGCTAGATGTCTCGGGCAACGACAATGGCCCGTTCCTCTAGGTTTTCGGCGCCTCATATCCCAACCACGGCTCTTTTGGCTTGTAAGCCGGCCCCTTTTCGAGACGGTTGTCGACAGATCGTACAACGTCCCGTGCAACCGGACAACTGCAAAAGGCAAGAAGATACGCCGGCAGTTTCTTCTGCAGGTGCATGCCTCCTTTCTGGAAGACACCAGGCCGGATTGGCCCCCTTTCTTTTGCAGCAAGGAGCCGGCACTGTGGTGCCTCTTGTAGGACAAGAGCAGAGTAGAAAAGCAGAAAGCTATTCAATCGCGTCGCGCCGCACAGCTCTCTCAAGCAAGGCACCACAGAGTGGAACCGTGCGATTCAGGTGCACTCGGACCACTGCACCTAACGCGATGCAGGTTAGTAGATCCTTCAGCCGGCCGATTCTGCAGGTTGAGCAGCCATCGGGGTTGAAAGGGAAAATCGTCAAAACGGTGGTCGAAATGGCATTGTCGTGGATGTGGCTCAGGCACGGGGAGCGAACGCACGTCGTAAGTGTATCCTGCCTGAGGATGACCCAGCAAGTCCACTTGTCGATGCAAAGGCTCTTACCATCCAAAGCGAGCGACGCAGCTTCTCGGTGCAGACAAGGCAGAAAGGACATGGCGCACTGTCCCTTACCTCGTGCCGGGCTGTCGAGACCTGGACCCAGGTCTCGTCCGAGGCCCTTTTCCGCTCTTCCCTCGTTTGTGGTTCTGGTAAGAAAGTTATGTTTTGACGGCGTTAAATAAAAGAGCTACGAAGGAAGATACTGCCCCGGGGTACCTTCCTTTTTTACACGTGTGCCTTCCTCTCACGACGTCTTTGTCTCACGAACCCTTCGTCCCTTCCTTTTACGAGCGCCTTCCTTTTACCACTCGTACCTCTCTTTCCTCATTTTCAACGCCCTCCAAATCCCAACTTTGGAAGATACTGGCCCCGAGCACCTTCCTGTTTTCTCGACGCCCTCCAAATCTCAACCTTGTGGCACCCGGCTTCAAGAACAAGAAAACTTCCGCAGAGGGCCAGGTTCCAGGATCCAGGATCCAGGTTCCAGGATCGTGTTTGCCTGGCTTCTGGGGCCGCCGAATAATCTGTATGGGGCTTTTGGAGCCTCCTGCCAGAAATAGCCGGTTTCGAACCGCATGAAAACGACGGGCAGAACGTACCGATACGCGACGGACGCGGTAGAGAGGCGCTCGATTTGTTACAAGAGAGTGCAGAAGGAGCAATCACCGAACAATAAGGAAGAATCAAAGAAGGACACTGGAAAAGCTGACCGCAACAGACATCCCTGTCAAGACCATCGCGGCCGACTATTAAAAGGACAAGAGTTCCTCTCGGCCTTCTGTGCGCAAACAATACGACGTTTGCACAGACCGATCATCGTCCAATTTTGGGCTTACATATTCCTTATGAAGTAACCTGGCGTCCACCCGTGCGCCCTTGCAGCTTGTCTGATTTCTGGTACGTGACATTCTCGCGACAAAACCAGCACAGATGAAAAGTTAAAATTGTGCTGTCGGTATGATGTCAGTGGCCAATGACGGTTCCACGTCTTGTCTCAGAGTCATTGTTACTGTGCATCGTACTCGACGAATAAGAGAAGACAATACAGCCAACAAGAACCGACTTTTGAATCCTGCGTCGTACTTGTTCAATTCGATCAACTCCTACATTTGCCTCGCGGTGTCTGCGATGTCGACCTAAATTGCCTAATTTGGTAAAAAGAGGGGCCGGCCTTTGCCATCAGCGGCTTTGGGCTGCGCTTTGGTCGGGATTAGTCACGGTCTTAGCTCGCCGTCAGACGCCGAAGGGACGTCACCGAGAGGATTCTCAGAACGGGGAGAGATGCGCTTGACATGAGAGAGGTATATAAACTGGGCCATGACGTGGCCAATTTGAGAGCTTGAGCAACAGAGACACAACGCCTTGTCTCACCTGTGAACAAGAAAAGCAACAGCAAATATATACTCCGTATAAAGCATGGCCTCGTCGACTCCAACCGCTGCACCGGCCCCAGCCCGGCCTCCGTTTCCACCGTTCACGCGCGAAACGGCAGAAAAAAAGGTCAAGGCCGCTCAGGATGCCTGGAATACAAAGTGAGTACCTTTGAGGCGCGTCAGACAATGTTCGGGGTGTCCCTGCTAAGCTGTTGTGGCCAAAGGAACCCCTCGATCGTCGCCCCGGCCTACACCGAGGACTGCATCTGGCGCAACCGCGACGCGTTTTTGCAGGGCCACGCCGCGATTGTCCGGTTCCTCGAGGGCAAGTGGTCGCGCGAGAGCGGCTACCGCCTGCGCAAGGAGCTCTTTGCCTTTACCGACGACCGCATTGCCGTGCAGTTCTGGTACGAGTACTTTGTGGAAGGCAAGGACGGCAAGGGCGACGGCAAGGGCGACGGCAACGGCAAGGGCGGCGAGAAACAGTGGTACCGGTGCTATGGGCTGGAGGACTGGACGTTTGCGGCGGACGGGCGCATGCGGAAGCGCATGATGAGCGGCAACGACGTGGCGATTGCCGAGGACGAGCGCTGGTTCCGCGACGGCGTGGACGTCAACACGGTGCCCATCAGTGAGAAGCATTGGTAGGACAACATACAGACACGCAGGCGCCGCCGATGGAGAGACGCCGACATGGTGCGTCGGCACGGCCGTTTGCTGCATTCAATTGATCACTGGCATTGTATTTCTTCGTTTGGCTGCTGCCGCAGTTGAAGACGTGTAGTTATCGTGCTTGTGGTGTATTTTTCCCATAGAGCCTTGCTGTTCATGTTTACATTGAAATTACAGATAATAGGTACGAGAATAGGAAGGGCCAAGGAAAGAATGGGGGAATGGGAAAAGGCAAGTAAACAGAGTGGTCAGAGTCGGGTAGCAGGGAAAGAAAGTCGTTGAGACAGGAACATATGTTTTCTAAAGGGAGATGCTCAAACCCGAAAGCGAGACCCTTATCCGTCTACATTACAAAAAAGACGAACATCATAAATAGGAAACCGCCAATGGTAGGTAGACATGAGAAAGAAAGTGTATGAGTCAGCTGTGACATTAAAACCATGTAAGGGTGGTAGAATGAGAGACATGAAGAGAAATGAAAAAAAAGAAAAGAGGCGTAGACGAGATGAGCACAGGAGAGGTGCAGAAATGAAATGAACAGGCCAAAAGAGTGTCAAAGAGAAGGGGAAAACAGAAATTGGCAACCCTGGTTTCATTGTTGTCCGACAACGCAATAACTCCGTCCATGCAGTGAGAGGAAGTGGAAGAGACATAGGAAGAGAGGATAGAGAGCGAGAAAGAGAGAGAGAGCCCGTACAAAAGCAAGTTCCACACACCCAAAACCCGTGAATACGTTGAAAACGACGATACATTAAGCAAGACATTAGCAAGCCGTCACCTTTTCTATTTTTTTTGTTTCTTAAAAATGGTGGACGGGGCTTGTCAACAAAGTCATCAACCCTCCCTCCTCTATGCGCTGTAGAAGGCCTCAAAGAGGTAGATGACGCCAAAGATGAGGAAGGAGACGGCACCGCCCACCGTGACCACCTTCATGCTGACACGGCCGGCCAGCGCACGGCCGCCAAGCACAGCAACGCTCGTGCAGCAGGCGTGGCCGACGACGGCGCCCAGCGTCACCCACCAGTAGTCCTGGCCGGCCGCCATGGCAATCGTGGCGATCTGGCTGCGGTCGCCCCACTCGCCCAAAAAGGTCATGACAAACGTCTGCACCCAGGCGGGGCTCAGCAGCAGCGTGGCCAGGTTCGACAGCCCGCTGCCCAGCGTCTTCATCGACGAGGCGAAGCCGCTGTTGGCCGAGCCGCCCCAGCTGCCGCGGCCGCGGGGCGGCGACAGCGAGGACGAGGCGCTGTGGTTCGGGGTCGAGAAGCGCGACTGCGAGCGGGGCAGGCGTCCGTTGGATGCGCCGGCCCCACCGAGGCCCATCTCCAGCATGTCGGGCGAGAGCACACCACCGGTGCCCGCGCGGCTGCTGCGACGGCCGTTCTCGCGGGCCAAGTGCTCCTTTTCGGCCAGCTCCATCTCGACCTCCTGCATCTCGGCACCGACGCCCTCATGGGCGCCCATCGCCAGTCCCTCGCGCAGCAGCTTGCCGCCAAAGGCCAGGAAGAGGCCGGCGGCGAGGAAGTTGGTCACGCGCTTGGGAATGAGGGCGGGGACGGCGTGGCCGAGCACCGTCGACAGGATGGTCATGGTGACGAGGGCGCTGAAGGCGGCCGTGAAGACGACGACCCGGTCGTGCTTCATGGCCATCAGGGCGGCCACGAGGAAGGTCTTGTCGCCGACTTCGGAGAAGAGAATCATGGTCAGGGAGAGGAGGAAAGAGTCCGTGGGATGAATCAGAGTGGAGTCGTCGTCGCCGGCGGGCCGCGCGGGGAGCTTGGACTTGTCGGCCGGGGTCTTGACGTCGAGGTGGTCCTTCTGGGCGGAGCCGGGGAGGGGGATGGCCTTGTCGTGTGTCTTGTCGGGAAGATCAGAGGGTTTCTAAACAGAGGGGTTAGTGTTACTGGAAGAGGCTTGCCCCTGAATTGGAAAAAAAAAAAAAAAAAAAAAAAAAAAAAAAAAAAAAAAAAAAAAAAAAAGAAAAACGCAGGGGGAAAAACGTACCCCGAATCCGGACTTGTCGTTGCCGGCTGCGTCCTTGGTCTTCTCGTCCTTGCCGTCCTTGCCGTCCTTGCCGAGGCCCTGGCCGAGGATCTTCTCCTCTTCGTGGTGCGGGAGCGCCGGCACCTCCTTGGGCGTTTCGGGCGTGTTCTCGACACGCTCGCCGGTCTGGCCCTCCTTGGCCTTGCGCTGCTTGTCCTTTTCGGACACACCGCCCGTCATGCCCGTCGTGCCGTGCTTGGGAGCCACCCGGTTCTTGTCGTCCATGACGCCGTCGTTGCTCTCGGGCACCTTCTTGCCGTCAATGTACACAGAGGTCTTTTCGCTGTCTGACTTGCGCGTGTTGTCAATCTCAACAAAGGGGCCTTCGTGCGGCCGGCCGTCCTTGCCATCAAACGGGACCTCTTTCGGGGCGGTAGCCGCATCGGCCTTCTTGGCGCCACCAGCGGCCGGAGCCGCGACACCGGCGCCCGCAGCCGCAGCAGCACCAGGGCTCACAGCCGCCTCGAGAACAGCAGCGGCGCCCGATGCGGAGAGGCTGCCGACAACGGCATCGGCGGCAGCGACGGCGTCCGCCGCCGTGCCGACAGGATCGACGGCCGCCACGGGCTTCGCATCAGCGACGCCGACAGCAGCGGCAAATGATGGTGCGACGAGCAAAGGGAGGATGGCAAGGGCGAGCGCGCGCCGCCGTCGAGATGACGAGACACGATGGGCGGAAAGGTGTTGGGAGGTCCGTGATGGGGGATGCGCCGAGGAGGCGTTGTGTAAAGAAGACATTATGTTGGATGGAGGGAGGAGGGACGTTGTGAGAGTGCGCAAGGAATTGAAAGGGAGGCGGTTTGTTCTGGACCTTCTGGATCAAATGCTGCCGCTGAAGATGGCCAGGAGCAGACAAACGCTTCGAGTAGCCGTGTACGAGACCGGAAAAGGGCTCGCTTGTGAAATGCCTCGTATGGTCGACCGTCTCGTTCCAACGACGAAAAATGGCAATTCGATCGAACACTAACGTTTGTACGGGTTGGGGATGACGAAAGGTCAAAGTCGTTGGTCGTTCTTGTGCTTGGCGAACAAGCGCAATGTGACAAGACGCCTGGATTTGGTGCTTGCGCCGCACAGCGAAAGGAGAGGCAGAGAGGGACAGCCGAGAGCAGGCCAAGTCGAGTTTTGCGTTGTGGCGATGTAGTGACAGAGGAGGGACGGAATGGGGGTACCGAATGTCGAAAAGGCACGCAATTGAGCCAACAAGACAGAAAAACGCTCTAGAAAGTCTGCAAAGTGGAAGAGGGATTCGATTGCTGCCGACAAACGACGAAACGGCGATGGAGAGAATGAGAAAAAAGGTTGATCGGAAATAGGAGACACAAAAGGGGAGAGAAAAGCCAGGTGACGCTTTACGAGAGAGACAGGGAGTTGGTTCCTCTTTTGCGTTGTGCGTGGAAAACGCGTCTCTTTTCCCCCCTTTGGGCAAGAGCACAGAAAAGAGAGGGAAAGGAAAGGGAAACCGGGGGGGCAGCTTTAGCGGAGGTGGATCCGTTACAGTGGGCCTGGTACCTAAAAAAACGTTTAAGGGTGGGAAAGAACGGCAATGGCCAGGGACACAAGAAACGGCAGGTGCAACTCCTAGGGAGGGCCTCCGTCAGCGCTGCGCTGTTGGCCAGTTTTAAGAAGCAAGAAAATGCTCCAAAAACGTCTGTTCAAGGGATGGTCTCTGGCATTTGTGGCAGCACGGATACTTCTTTCCACTCTGGCGGAGGCACAGACGTGTCAAACGAGGACTGTCAGACGAGGACTGTGAGAAGACGCGCGTGCAAGCTATGAAGCCACCACGGAGATGGATGCCAGGGACGATTGTGGCGATAATGGTCGCTTGGGGCATGCAAGAAAGCAGTCCGTCGAGCCCGTCGAAGGCCCCTGGGAATGACTGGACAAGCGGTGGTGGATGGGCATCACTAATTGACACGCTGTACGCAGTTCTTTGCGCATACCTTGATGTCACGTCGAGTCTATGTTATAATGCCAATACTGGCCGTTCCTCCCCGACATATTTCTTTTTTCAACTCGTCGTATATGGCCGTTCCTTGCGGCAACACAGATCTGTCGATGTGGTCGTTTCTTGCGACGCATGATTGGCCTTTGGAATTGCACTCTTGCCTGGGTGTCCGGCCTGTCGTTGGTGAGCTTTGCCCCCTTGACGCAGGGAGGAGCGCAAAGCCAAATATTGCAATCACATTTTGCAGCCAACAAATTCGTTGCCCTTTGGCGTACGTCATACGCTGCAAGTGGATGGCTATGTGCACAGCTTTGGCCTCCCGTCTGTGGGTGCCTCGGTCTGTGTGCATTGCGCATAACCATCAAAGGTTGGTCTAGATCTCGTGTTGCCCCTTTCTCCTGTCTTACCCCTTTTTCGCGGCCGTTTACTGGACCACCTCAGATTCTTGGCCCCGGCCGTCTCACATCGCGACGCGACGAGTTGTTGGGAGTACGCGATGGGGGACTTTTTGTGTTTCTGTGTTTCTGTCTTTCTTGTTGAGCGACGATCACCACTTCTTGCCATCGCCTGTATTACTCAGCGACTTGTGCTGTACGTCGTCATTGCCATGGCTGTATGTCGTATGCTGTACGAAGTACAATGGCTCAATGGGTATGATCGCAGCGGCTCGCTTGTTCCTTCGAAGGAGTCCTCTGCCATAATGCGACATGGCATGAACCAAAAGCTTGCTTTTGGACAACGCTGCGGAGTAATACATGCTGCAGGTGGCATGTTACCAATTACGGCGGTGTATTAAATACGTCGCCGAGGCCGCGTCCGAACGACCCTGAACGTCTTGGACACAGCATGCTATTTTACGCTTGGCATGGGTTCTGACCCAGGGAACATCAATTTAAAATTAATCTGGGCGCAGCACTGCCCGCGTCGTATCCACGATGATATTCCCATTGCTTCTCCAATTCTGCACGTTGGAATTGCAATGGGCATTCCCGGTGCAGCGTCGGCCAGGGGCCCTCGTCTGGTCCTGCATGTGAACAAACGACAAAAGTAGGTCCGGGGGTTTGAGGGTCACACGAGCTGTCGAGTCAGTTAAGTTACGGCAGTGAACTGCAATACATGGTTCGTTCAAGTCCACAAGAGACCAGAGACTTCGTGCTACTGACCTGCCAGGGGAAGAATCTCGAGAGGGGAATGAAGATAAAAACTGGGGAATGGAGCATCTGATCTCGGGACGTTTTGTGGGTTTAGCCTCATCGCAATTTAACTACGCCATTCTGGCAGGCCATCGTGGCCTTGTGAATTTTATTCTCTTTTCTATTTTTGTCGTCCTGCCAATCCTTGCCCTTATAAAGCACTCCGTACTGTCTAGTACGAAGTGCAGAATTGAGTCTCATGTGTCGTGTGTCCGACTGTTCCATCAAATCTTGCACATCTGCAAGCACGGAATCTGGATGAACTGCTGCCACCGTCCCTCGTCCATGCCAGTGGAAAGCGTGTAAGATTGTTCGTCGTACGATGTACCTGCAGGTACGACTTGCAAGCTCCACCTCATTCGGGGTCAAGTCGTCGTCCCGTTACAATGTACGCTCGTCTTATTCGGCACAAAGTGATAAATTCTACAAAAATGGCCGTTTCATATTTTGTTCTCCGCAGCCTCGACATGCGCGCGAAATACACACACATGCGCAAACTAACGATAGATCGTCAGACTCCACAAGCAAGCTGTTGGGGCTCTTGATCGAACAACTAGTGAGTGACCTTGAGAGAACCGTTTTAAGAGCGTTTTCAACCTGCCCTGCCAAGCTTGCCGAGAGAATAAAAAGTGATAAGAGAGAGACAGACGAGGGCTCCACCGCAGCTTTCTTTCTGGACGGTCTCGCTCCTGGTCTCGAAGCTGACAACCCGTTGGCAAAAGGGCGTCGGAGTTTGTTGTCTTCCTCATGTACTCGACAGAGCGATCCTACACAAAGGATGACCGGATTTAGCAAGCTGCATGGGAGCGTGGGAGGGACAGGATATAGCCACTTTCCGTACGAAAAGAGCACAACAGTCTTCTGGCCGTGATCAGTCCCTCTATTCTGTACAAGCCCACACAAGATAAGAGCAAAGTGGCGCAATCCATAGCAAAGTTGGTATCTGACGTTTGTTTTGTGAAAATGTCTGTGAGTTTGTCTCGCAGTCTGTCTCCCTGGTCCTACTGCAACGATCGTCCTTGTCCGCGCTTCCCGTTCCGAGAATGGCGCACTTTGTTCACATCGTTAGTCTCCGCAGAGTATGTCGTACTACAGAGTAATTACGCATTAAGCTACTGAGCTACTGAACTACTGAGCTACTGTTTTGGAGCTACGAAGTACACTTTTTGACGGCCAAGTACCAAACTCTCTTTCACTTTCACTTCTTTTTCTTCGTAAGACAATATTGGGCGTACAAAGACGTCCTGGCCTAGGACCAAGATGTGATACGGAGTATGTCGAATGCCGTACGGCATGGAGATCGTTTGGGACTGCTATGTGCTGCCGATGGATCACACTACAGAATGAACACAAAAGAAGAAGGCATTCGGTCATTGGCATTATACATTGTATATTTTTTATAATACAAGAAGGTCAAAGAAACAAACCAGACAGGAGACGCGCAGGAATCTTGTTATCATCGTCATGCCTGTGAAAAGTATGCCGCAGATTTATTGCGTTGACGGCATTGATTACTCTGGGGCCGTCCGGAACCCAGGACTCCACGATTCCCCAAACCAGAAACTCCCCGTCTCGCCTCGTCCCTTCTCAATATAAACCATTTCCGTCCGCCTAGAGCCTCAATTTGACGGACCGCTGAGTGGCCAGTGTTTGTCTTCTTCGGCGTTTCCCCTCACTCCATTTGCTCCGTCGTCGGACCGCTGCGTATCTCGTTGCTGTCCCTGGGAGGATTTTCTGTCATTTTTGCCCTCACAACGTCCTTTGCCGCATGCCATTGGATGCTTCTCAGCCTTTGTTGCATCTAGTCGCCGTTCGAAATAGCCAATGCACATTCTCCGTGCCGTTGTTTCCCTGTCTGATGTGCAGTTGCTGAGGGTTATCGCAACCAACTAGCAAATGCAGCCATCATCCTCTTCTGCGTTATGGTTTCTTGTGCCGCCCGCCTTGCCGCGACCAACAAGAACGCAAGAGGTGAGAGGTCTTCTGCACCTTCTACCATCTGCATCGCCTGCATCGCCTGCATTGTCCGCATCGTCTGCAACTTATGTATGTTTTTCTTTCGTTCTTTTCGTGCGTCCTTGCAACATCGTTTTGCACCCCTGGTCCCATCATCTGTCCTTCCCCTCCACTCTTTTCCGTCCCTCCCCCACCTACCTATTGACCCCTGCTGTTCCCCTCTTCTCCTGTGTCGTTCTTCGCTTCCTCGTCCCTCTTTTGCTCCTTCCAAAAGCCACAATTCAATATTCTGGGGCTCCATTTCGTTTCTGAGAGTTGGTTTGTTGCTTCTGTCTGTTCGCCACGGCCATAGGCTGTAGACCTGGACCAAGACCCGTAGTAAGGCCTTTGCATGTGCAAAGTATATGTCGTCTGCGGAGCTCTGCAAAGTCAATGTGCGAGTAAGATTTCCGTGCAAAATAAGATCGAGGCAACTTCAGAGACAGTCGGTGCAAAGTACGGGTCGAAAGCCGACGCATGTTCGCCGTGACAGGCAGACAAATCCACCCGTAAACCGGACGTCTCCAACATCAACGCACTCGGCTGCATTCACGGCTGGGTTGACGAGCCGAGCGGCCTGAAGAGTCGGCCGGGTGGGG